CGAGTTGGTAGAGATGGCCATAGGGCAGTTGGGACCGTTGTTTTTGAGGCGTCAGGGGGCCGGATTTTCCGTGCGCCAAGGTCTGCTTCACAGGTTTGCGGAGTCGCAGCGAGCCAGAGCAGCGCAAAGAGTTCGGCACTTGGAAAGCGACTCGCAACGAGAGGCCTAAGGTCATGACCTGACAGGGGGGGGGGGTCTCTTCAAAGGAAAATTGTTTTCCAGAACCTTTGTGTCAGGTTCCATGTTAATTGGTGGGAGGGTAGTTACGCGTGGATACTATCAGGCTGCAATGGATCCGCTTGCTATGGCTTTGAACCAGCATGACTAAGATTCCAGGCCGTGTTTGTGTGGTTAGGGATTTCCGGAAACCCTGTGAAGAATCAAAGAGGCCTGGGTCGAAAAGGACACCCCGCACCTTTTCGGTATGTCAGGGTGCGTACCGTAGCTTTCCTTCTAGGCCCGGAACACAGCAAACCGATGCTGAGGAAAGAACATCATTCCCGTAGAAACCATGAAGACACACATCAGGTCCAAGAAGTTGTCCCCAACCAAGATTGCGGAATCATAAATTTGCAGGGCCCAAACCAATACTCAAACTGATGCCCAACCGACAGCCAGCGTCTTAGACGCCATGCCAAATCCAACCAGCTGCCCTGGAACTGCCAACTGTACCTTGCTTGCTACATTTGTACTGAAAAGTTGCGACTGTCCAGCTGGAGCTGCCAAAATGCACTTCGTGTTCTGCACATGTACTAAAAAGTTGCGACTTTCAAGCCAGAGTTGCCGCAGGTTCCTGAAAAGTCGCGACTCCTGAGCTGAAGCTGCTGTGGCATTGCAAATTGACGCATGGGATGGAAGCCATACTAGCCGACGCCAGGGAGAAGACACCAGGGAGCCGACACCAGGGAGAACACTACAGCGCCTGAACCTAGGTGGTTTGATAGGGGGGTTCGAACCCCGATCCCAAATTGGGAAGGTGCCAACGTCACAAGAAGTAAGACCCGGATATATAACACTCGGAGTTGCCCCCTCGGTCCAAAATGCCCCTTGGACCCTCTACAGCGCGACTGAGGCTGGGAGAGAGGCTCTTTGTGAATGCCAGGGGCCCGTCGCGCGCAGGAAGTCAGAGACGCAGGGCAAACCACGTGCATGCCAAGAGCCATAAGGGAAATGAGCCCAACCACACTAATAGCTATGGTAACAGCCAAGTGGGTTAAACATCCGGTTTTTGGGGTGGCGAGCGAAGGAGCGGATGCGTGCCAATATTGAAAAGATCTGGACACAACAGCATGAGCTCACGTGGGGGGTGACACGAGCTCAAACATGATGAGGATGCTGGGTAGAGCGGGCACTCACATGCTGACCTTTTTAGACTTCTTCATCATTTTAGTCAAAATCCCCGGCATTTTGAAGATTAACACCAGGTAGAAAGGCAGACTGCTTCACGTATCCCGTGCTCAGGTTTGCCACAGCGCATGGGAGACACAGGGCATCCCAGTGCCAGCCTCGGCTTACCTCAGCTTTCTCAGCTCGTCGTTTCTGCACTGCTCAGATCTCCAGTGGGGCTTGTACCTGTTTCCCCAACAGCCGAAAAACTACGGGGATCTGCCTAGACAAGCTCCAGGGCAGCAGGTCCTGCTAGACATCGTTCCCCAGGGTTCATTTCCGGAGGGCTCCTAAAATCCCATGGAGCGCTTGCTGGACAGAATGCCCCTGGAAGGTTTTCAACTGGGCTTCTTCTTTCCTGTCGAGAATTAGGGATACCTGCCATCCAACATTCACAGAAGTTGACAGGAGGAGAGGTGGAAGACTACTTTCCTTTTGGGGAAGGCCCCTGTCCACGGTGATGGTGGAGATCCTTCCCCGATTTCGGCCGATTGCCTGCAGGTGAAGCGCTTCGGCAGCGCGCAGGCAGCCGCGAAGGTGGTGGAAAGGACCGGTGGGTGTGTGTGTGTGTGGGTGGGTGGGTGGGTGGGTGTGTTCTTTTTTTGAGAGAGTACTTTTCTTCACCTTGGTTCGCGGGGACCACCTTGGTTCATAGGGAAACCAACTGGAAAACGACCGTGTGCCTTCTCCTTCGCGAGTTGCGAAAAAAGGCCCTCTGAATCTTGGGGTAATAGCCTACTTTTTCAGGGAATTTTGAGGGTCCAGGTACCTTTTCAAGGAAACCACGCCGCTTGCGATCAAGATCTATAATTTTGAAATCACCCTCGAACAGACAGCAGCTGCTCCCCCAAGGGCCGTGCGCTTGCGCACATTGACAGTGAATGGCTCGGGTGGAAACTGTGGGAACACAGACTGGGTTTCGGCATCATGCAGTGCAACCGCAACTAGATAAATGGTAGTTTTCGTGGGAGGTTCACTCTGTTCTGTTTTGGGCAAAGCAATCATTTCTCCTGCACGAAACAGCGATTCATTCGCAGCCTGAAATGCCAAAGTTGGACTCTTTGCCCGCAACTCTGCTGCAGAGCTTGGAGCACTTTCCTGCCGGCATTTTTGGACCGCAGAGGGGATTGACTTAATTAAGGGAGCTGCTCCCAGTCTTTGAAAGCACATGTGGGGCTTCTTAAAGGATTCTCAGACCTTCGGAAGTAGTTGCCGCACGTGTTTGCCACAAATGCTGCGAGAAGTTGCTGCAACAGCTGGGAAAGCTTTGCGTGTGAAGAGCCTCACAGCGCGCTGTTTTGCAGGCTGCGGCTACAAATCAGAGTCTCGGGCAGGAGAAGCACTCGTTTGGAGCAGAAAATAGGTAGTGCAAGCGGAAGCCCCCGTCGCGCCAGCCGTGGAAGGATCGCAATTGCCAAAGACTCAACTAGCTCGTCCAAGTCATGCTCTGGTGAACGGAGTTGCTATGGACGTCTAACAGAGAGCGCGAGTCATGTGAACGGTAGCAGCCCAGCCCACCCTCCCGCCCCACCCGCAAAGCGCCTCCGCAAGCTGCCAACTGTTCGGTTGTGAAGCAACTGATCTGAACGCCACCCCCGCCCTCCCCCCGCCCTCCCTCCGCCCCCCAGCCACCCCGCCCCCCAGCCTTCCCACCCCCCTCTTCCCCCCAAAAAATGAGACCACACGCAACCCCAGGTCGACACGTTACGTTGCACACGTCGCGATGGGAGGATCGCTCGAATCGATCGAGCAGATCGTAGGATGGCGCAGCTGTCGGAGCTGAGCCTCGAGGAGCTCAAGGGCAGGTGGAGGGAGCTCCAGATCCCTCCTGAGGCCCGGGGCGCGGTCGGATCCGGGATCGGGGCGACTTCGCTGGGAGGGGCGAAGTCGTTTTTTGGCTCGGTCTTGGCAGGGGCATTTGGGAGGGTGCCTGTTTTGAGGCTTAGCATTAAGGTTGGTTTAAATGGTTGGAATTAACATGAAATCCAAGGTGGAGTCAAGGGGAAACCGGGCGTGAGGAACAACCCAGCAAGAACTACAATTTTGGGAAACCACCATAGGTCATTTGAGGTCTCTTCCGATACTCATCGTTGAACATGTTGCTTGGTGTACCCAGGAGTTGGCAAACCACCGTTTGTCTATGCGCCCAATAGGAAATTCCTAAACAAGGGTTTTGGTTTTCTTGTAGTTTCCTGTTAAAGCGAGGCCAAACAGGGTGAGCCTCAAAGAACCAACACAAACCCTCATGAAAGCACTTTAAGCAGCCGGATAGTTATTGGTCGGCATGCCAACTCCAGGCCGTGTAGGATCATGTAGGTGTGTCCCAATGGTTTCCCTTAAGAGACGCCCGGTCACCTGTATGAGGCAACATGCCCGGAAGATGCTTGGCGGGTCGCTTCAGGCAGGCGAGCCGCCGTCCAAGCGTGAGCTGCTGAAGGCCTTGGAGAAGCTCGCCATGTGGCAGGATTGACGGGTCGATCGGTTGGTGTTGCGGGCCGTTTCCAGCGAAACCTCTTGACCTTTGCCTCACTTGCAACCAAAGCGAATCGACCGGATCAGTTTGGTACCCCTTTTTAGTAAAAGGTGCCAACAAATGAGCCTTCTTTTTGGGGGGTCCAATAAGTCTAAACAGGGTAGACCGAATATGGCCCCGAAAATAAGAGGATGTGTGCCGGACATGGGCCTGACCCTTGACAGGGTCTTTTGTGATCGAAGCTCTGAATTCCTTGTTGCTGCTTTGGGTTCAGAGCCCACTAAAAACGGTCAACCGCAAGCAGGGTGCCTTGTTTTCACCGATTTGCACCTTTCGCATAACCGGTTGTAACTGGCAAGCAAGCCAATTGTTCAGTGGTGCGCAGGGTCACTGGACAACCCTCCTTTCTTGGGATGGGTCTCAACCAGCTTTGCAGCACAGAAGGACCATTCCCCGCAATCACGATCAAGCATGGGTGTGTCCTTATTTAGGAGTACCCCGTTTGGGTGGTTTGAAAAGGGAACCAAGAGGGAAAACAACTTTTGTTTTGTGGAGTCCACCAAAAACAAGTAAACACGCCCGTACCATTGTGCAAAATAAGTTGTCTGGTCGGAGTGGTCGAGCGGAGCCTTTGGGTCATTGGCCAGGTTCGGGCGACCAGGGTTCGGCTTGGGCGACCTTGGGTGTTTTGCCAAAACGAGGGGTGGGGGGGCGGGGGTTGGAACCAACTGCACCACACCCCTGTTCAGGGTGCTGGCAAGTTCTCCAACACCTGTTTTTTGGAGAGGTGGTTCAGGGCCCTTGGAAGTTCTCCAACTGGTTAGTTTAGGGGTAGGCAAAGAAGTCTCAGCCTGGACCATCATGTCACAGACAAATTCATTGCTAGATACTTTGGCCCTTTTCAGTGGCACCTGCTGACTCTGGGAGATTTACATGGCTTTGGGAATCTGCTGCAACTGTTTGAGGGACACTTTCTGTCAAAGAGAAGCGCCATGGAAATGGCCCGTGGTGTCACAGACTGTCACAGAAAGTGAGTTTTTGTTTCCATGACCGTAGGGTGACTTTCCGCAAGTCCGCGGGGCTGCAAGTGCGAACCTGCCAGGAGATGCCATTAAAGGAGCTGCAGAAGGATTGCCGCGAGATGGAGGCGCGGGTTCAGGTCTTGGGCCGAAGCTTATTCCAAGTTTTACTTGAAGTGAGCGACTCCGCCCATGACTTCGTAACTTGCCTCATAGTTTTGACCCATGGGCGGTTTCTGGGGTCTGTGAGGGCCCTCCCCACAGTCCCACCTACAACCTTACTCTGCAGAAAGCCCTTGGTTGTAGTGACTTAAAACCAAGGGCTTCTCCTTTAACCGACCGCTGAAAACACCGGGTTTTCCTTAGACGGAAACCAGAAGGGATTGGGCATGTTTGGCAGGCTCCTTCGCCGGGGCAAACGTAGATGGCGCAATTCCCTGTTTGTCAGAAAGGGGGATGAATTCACTGAACCCAGGAGGGGAATTATTTGGGACTCATGCCATCTTTTACCCAGCTGTACTTGGCTAGGTGTCGAACAAATCGGCAAGGAAAAGACACGGTGGTTTTTTTTCAGGTTTCCCTTTACACCCACCCCAACCGGGTATCCCCAAACAAGCACACAACCACCTGACACCCAGCCGACCGCGAACCCTGAGCCGCCTCCAAAGCACAGGTCTCCACCTCCAGTCTCTCCGGGCTGCGACTGTCGGACGCAGAGACACGCAAGGAGTTCCCCGAGCCGCGGGGGCTTTGGGTTTGAGAGTAACCCTCAGATTGGTTTGCGTCGGTTTGGGGGGCTGAAATCCCGGGTAAATTGGAAGCTGCCCAACCCCTAAACATGTTCAACCAATCACTTCCCGAGTGGCGTTTCGGACTTGAGTCGCTCTTTGAGCATGGATCATTTCAGTGGCAAAACAAAAGTTTAGACTTTGTGTTACCAATCCACTCAGGAAGTGAGACCAACGTCAGGTAGGTGAACCATGGTTATAAGGGGACGATCACCCCAGTTGTACCAGTTATGGGCAAAACATACTTCCTAATTAGGTTGGTTGGACACCCAAGAAGCAAACTCAGTTGCCCAAAGCGAATCGACCTGTTGAGCCTGTTGATCTTTCGGTTGGGTTACTCCGTATTTTGTGGCTCCAAAAGGTGATCACCCTCTTCATTTCTGCGTCCTTTGGGCAACTGAGAGTAACCCACTGGTGGTGGTGTGCATCGGTTTGGGGGTTTGAAATCCCGGGTAACCCTAAACAACCGGGCTCCAAGCCACCAATTGTAGGGAAGCTGATTTGGGTATGGGTCAAAATTAAACCACCGGGGACCGCAGGTTTTAGTCCATGTTTCCACTTGCCAGGGCGCCATTTTGGCACCGGTTTTTTGACTCACAGCCATTTGGCTACATGTTTTTGCAGTTGGGACCACCTCAAAGTTGTGGACATGAATTCCCACCACAATGTGCGCCACTTCAGGTTCCTGACAAAATAACGAGAATGTTGGGTGCTTCAAAGCCGCATGTACTTGATGCTTCCCAGCCATCCGGTTACTTAGGTTTTTACCTGCTTCGTGTTTACTGTTAGTTGCCAGTTGACCCACTAAAGGCTAAACTTTAGCAGGGGTTGTGAGAACAGCCTAGTTTAGTAACGACAGGGCTAACTGGCAGTATGCGTTTTGGCCCTAATGCCTCGCCATCCACTCACTCTTCTCACTTCCTCATCTTTTAGGAAGCCAGTCTTGTATACAAAACGTTCGTCATTCTTCGGCCAACCCACTCGGCACGCGATTTGCCTTACTCCATATCCGGACTGAGGGTACTACAATTCACACGCCAAGCGAACTCTACTGCCCTAAAGCCACTGCGCCACGGGGAAACCCCCAATCAATGCTTTTGAGGAGGGGCTTTGGCGCACATTCATACAATACGGTCCCAGTTGCCTGGAGGTATCCATGTTTTCCTCTTTTGGGTTGTTCCAAATGAATTTCCTAACATCTTCATGCCAGCCCATGTTGCACAACGCTAGGCAATAATACAAAGCGGTGCAATAGGAACCTTGGATGAATGACTTTGATTTGGAGTGTCCCATTTGAGAGAGGACCCGAATCGATTACTTTTGGTGCGACCCAGTCCAAGTAAAGTCGACATGTTCCGCCCAAAGTCTCCAGGGCCGGTTTGGATTGGCTTGGAGATCAAGAGGGGATTAGATTGGTTTGGATTGGATTGGTTTGGATTGGTTTGGGTACGTTCCCAGTTTGGTTTCAAGAGCAACTGAGGGTTTGGCTGAAACCGTCAGCCTTTTTTGGCTTGCAAGAGCAAACGACAGCATCGCAGTTCAATGCCTTTGTTTCCCTTTTTGGCGGGTCCCCGGTGAACATGAAGTCAAGTTTCCGAACAAAACCCAAAGATGAGCCACAAAGAACCCAAGAGACAAACGCAAATCATCCAAGAAGCACAACACAACACCAAAAATAAAGCAAAAAAGAAAATCAATGCAACCAACATGGACATTCCAAGTGGGGGAAGTGTCCCACAGGAGTTGGTGCAGCGCTGCTGCCTGGGGCCAGGGCCCTACAGTCCCAGGGGCCAGCTGTGACGGGCGATTGCACCCCTTGGCTTCGAGCCTCCAAATGGTTAAAAGGGGAAGGCGTCAAAATCAAACCACCAGGAATTGGACCGCAGGTTTTAGTCCATGTTTCCATAAGCCCAGGGCAACCCATTTTGGGTACACAGTCTTGACCCACAGCCATATAAGGGGAATAAGCGTTGTTTACCTTTGGCAGTTCTTGCAAGAACTACGGCAAAACAAGGAGGATGTCCATCCACTGGAAGCTTGCTCCACTTTTCTTTGCCTCTTTTGTGGATCCATTTCTTGGAAGCTTGCCGTTGGAGCTGAGCAACAAGGAAGAGCTAGAAGCATCCTTTGGGCATCGGAAACAGGAGGAGGTTGTCAAGAAACTTAATTTGACGGCTCCGAATGCAGTGATCGCAGACCACCGGAGACATGTCGCAGTGGCGAGCCTCTTCCGGGGTTTGGAACAGTTATCTCAGGCCTCACTTGTTGCCTCTTTCTTTGGGGATCTTCGGATCTTCGGGGTTCCCTTTTGAATCGATCGGGTTTACGTCACAGCGACGTCACAAAGAGGGGTTGCGACTTCGCTGATAGGTTGTGACGTGTTGGCGTTCCCCGTGTCCCATCGACAGCCCCCCCCCCCCCAGTTTCGCAACCTGAGCAAGGCGCCTTGAGCGAACCATTTCCCCTTTGGATGGTGTGTTTGGGTTCCTTGCTTGGGCGTTGTAAGCCTCGCCGTTCCATAGACATGGAGTGCACAGAAAGCCAGGCTTCGCCAAACAGAGTTGGTTTCTTTGTGGGGCCAATCGATCAAGGTCTCCTCTTTTGTTTTGGGGGAGAGGGGGGGGAGGGGAGGTCTACTGTGTACTTCATCTTGGGATTGGTCGGAGGTTGGGGGCCACCTCATTTTAGTTTCAGCAAGAGGGAGGTTCAAACTTCTGAGCCGGCAATTCCCAGGCAGCTCATTTGCTCCCATGCCGCGGCAGTCATTGGCCCTTTGCTTATTGAATGCAGGAAGTATGGAGCAATGAGGCCATGAACTTGCAAGTTCAACGGCTTCTCAAGCCAAACCCTCCCGACCTCTACCTCTTCCCCATTTTTTTTCCCCATGTTCTACCCGGAATTACTTGGCTCTCGCATGTCCGACTCACGGCCTCATACCTCCGTTTCCTTTGGCTTCCTATGCTTTTTGTTCTCGCCTAATTAAGCTGGGTTCCCCCACACATCTTCCCCAGAATTAGCTCCCCTTCTGGCTCTTTTTCTTTTGCTTCCAACAGGGGTCCCTTTGTTTTCCACTCACCGGGCAAAGAATATATATATATATGTTTTTGCCGGGGTCCCCTTTTTCCCAGCCCAGAGAGCGAGCCGTCCGGCTCAGCCGGCTCGCGCCGTGAGCCGCCAGGCTGTTCCTCACGAACTGGGCTGCCCAGGGCATGCCCATCAAGCGCCCGGCAGCCCACTTCGGGGCACTTCGTCGGGTCTTGGCTCGCGGGAATGTCTGACGGAAGGAAGTGGGGATTGGCCCGCAAAAATGGGGGAGATGGGGGGAGTGGTGACTTGGGTTTTTTTCTCTGCGAAGGGCAATGTTCTTGGAGTTTTTGTTCATGTTCAAGCCTTGGATTTTCGTATTCTTGGTTGCTATTTGGTAGGATCTTTAGACTTTAACTTTTTGGTTGAAATCAAGGAGGTTTTCCATGAAACCCAGAAACAAGTTGAACTTTTTGCAGAGGGGTCAACAGCAACCAAGTATTAGTGATTGTTTTTTGTTTTTTGTTTGCCTGCAATGTTCTTGGTGTTTAGTGTTCAAACCTTGGATTTGGTCGAAGACTGACTTGAGTTCCGTGTCAGGCTTTAGTCACTGTTTGGGGCTTGGACCATTTTCGCAAATAGTTCAGACCTTCTTGGGCCAATCCAGGAAGTGAGTTCGGGAATTTCATTTGAGTGTTGGGGAACCTGAAGAGCCCTTAGGAAAGCACCAGTTGGCTTGGGGCACTCCAACTCATTCCCGTTGAAAGTTGGTGTCATGGTTGTGGAATGTACAGGGTTGTTTTTTTTGATGGTATCCTTTTTGGGGGTGGTTTAAAAGGAAACCAAAGGGAAACCAACCATGCAGTCTCTTGTTTTGGGAGGTCCCCTATTGTAGGAGACACCCAACATACATGCTTTTTAGTGGCCATATGTGCGATATGTCCCAGAAACGGTCGCCAAGTGATGTAACGTAGTTGTGGGGATGTATCAGGGTGACTATTTCCCACCATGAGTTCGGCTCAGAACATTTTGGGTCTGTGTGTGTCCATTTTTGAGGGTATACCCCTTTTTTATTGTGGTTTTTCAGGGAACCAAAAATACAACCACCCATTGGGGGTCCCCCCCAAAAAAATAGTAATACTTGTCCGAGTCATTCTCGTCCTTTTGCGGGGACGATGTTTCTGCCCTTGCGCCACCGCGTCTAGAGCAACCCAGAAGTGCTGTTGGATGCCCCTGGCTGTGATCCACAAAACATATGATGGTTGAAAAGACAATGGACAAGGAATCAACCCTAGATAGATACGGCCATTCCCATTCAAAGCAAAGAAACAAAACTCAAATACCATCATAGCAAAAGGGGGTGTTTCGGCCGCGCCCATAGATAGATACCCTAATACCAAGGTTGACCTCCGAGTTTCATGAGACGTGTCGCTGGAGGCTTGGAGACAATGACGGCGGCCCTCGCAGTGGTGCGACGCGTCAGCGCCCCAGAACCGGGAACCGGGCCAGAGAACACGTCCAAATTTCAACAGGGCTGCTTAAAAGATATATGTTGCCACCATTTGAAACATGTTTTTTTCCACCAAAATAAAGAGAAACCACCATTTACAAGGCGATGCTCAGCAGAGACAAAGCCCAGCATCCCCCAAGGAAATGAGATTGATTCTGGGAAAGCGAGTTTTGTGTCACTATGGGAATGAGACTGTTCAGTATGTACAGGAAGAAAGTGCTTGATGATGTGTTTCCAAAGCGGGAGGGACCAGCAACCAGAGGACATGTCCAACTTGCCGGGCTTGAACATGGGATTGTCTCTTGCTTGAGGTGCCCCTTTTCGGTAAGGGTGGTAGAAACCCAAGGGCTGTTAGCGCCTGGTGTGGAGAAGACTCGTCTTTTCAACAATAGTCTTACCGCAGCAGCTGGGACTAGACTTTAAGGTCACTTGTCCTGCGCCTCCAAGCTTCTATTCTCTCCCTTAGTCTCTGTCACCATGAAATCCACCAAAGATGAAGAGCAGAAAGTAAACCGACAATGTTGGCCCCGGATTAATAAGCCCATGTGTATGAATACTGGGGTGTTCCCCTCCAAAAGTGATAAATCCCGAGTAAAACCAGGGACACCCAATATTAATCCGGGGTTAACATTATTAGATAGACAGGTTATTGTCGTTCGCTTTCTCTGCAGAAGAGTTTGGCAGCCTCAACAAGCACACCGAGGCTGAGAGCAAGATCACCGGTCTTCGCGGAGACATGCGTCTCCCCGCTATGATAAGCTGCTTGTTTCAATTTTCCACCTATGACGCGGCCACACAGCTGGTGCACCACCAGAGCGAACAGCAAGTGGCAACCATGGATGCAAAGGAGATCGCTCTGCTGTGCATGAACATGGATTGGCCCAACATGCTGAATCTTGGTTCAGCGGGTTCTGTGAACATCTTCAACCGCGGAGTCAGAAGCCTTCAGCTTTTGAATTTAGAGCCAGGCAGTCGCATGGAGTTCGGCGCTCTCGATGGCTATCCAGCAGATCTTCAAGTTGTCAACAGTGGATGGATCCTCTGGCACCTTTGGGCCTTTGGGGGGTAGTGTAGCAAGATTAGTGGCGCCAAAGCAGATGTAACGATGTGTTTTCTTCATTGCCATTGTAAGGGTCTTGAGGGTAGTGGGGCTGGTCATGGACCTTTCAAAGAACAACTTCGGGTTGTAAGCCTTGCAACATGACCCCCTCAGGGGTCCAATGGAAGATTGAGACATAAGGAAGTTAAATCAAGGCAACACAAATACAAAGAAGGCCCCAAACTAATTTTCCCCTGCCCAGAGAGGCTCTAAAAATCTTCGGAGCAGCTTTCAGGGAAGGTTCAAAAGGAGGGTTCCAGGGATCCGGGGTTGGTTCGTAGATAGTTTTAGGTCGGAAGATGTTTCTTGTGTAGGTGGGGTGCTTGATATGGCGTTCGTTGGCACATCTCTTGGAATCGTGGCAGCTCGTGATGTCTTGAAATCTGGGCATTGAGAGAGAGCGAGAGAGAGAGAAAAAAAGAGAGAGAGAGAGAGAGAGAGAGCGTTTGCCTTCTAACAACATTGTTAACATGTTTGGAAAATGAAGGGCCCCCCTTCCGCTGTAAAAAAGGAGTTGCCTTCGTCCCGCAAGCATCGCGCTCGGGGAGGGTGGGGGAGGGCCTGGAAGATCAACCGCTTTTGAAAGGACGCGCTGCGGGGTGCCATGTTTGTTGGAGGGGTGATGTGGGCTCTTGGCTGGCTAGGTGGTTGAAGCCGCAACCCGTGGCAGCGCATCAGGTGAAGCAACTGGACGCGATGACTGAAGCGGTCTTGAGGACTTCGCGGGGTGCGTAAAAGACCTGCGGCACCGCAACAAGGGGCTTACTCGCTCCAAACAGTCATGCAAGTAAGACCCTACAATCAGACAAAGTGCACGAGTGGTTTGTCTAAAAGGAAAGCTTTCATTTTCCAACGCCCTCCGATGGTAAATAGGGAACCCTCAAATATGGGCCTTGTGCTGTACGTCCTTTTCTGTTGGTTCTTTGGACTTTAACTTTTTGGTTGAATCAGTGGATTTCCCATTGGACCAACAAAAAGTTGTTTTTGCAGATGGCGTCAACAGCGGCCCAGTGTGCATCTTTGGTCACATGTCCACCAACTCAAAATGCGCGTCAGAAACCATAGGATGCCCGCTCAAACCCGCCCTTTGTTTGCGTTTGAAGGCCTTTGAAGGAGTTGGGGGTGGATCCCAAATGAAAAGGCCGTTTATAGGCTAAAAAACAGATCCCTCTTAAAGTGAAGCATCAACCCCTTCCTCAACAAGTTGATTCCATTTTGGGGGTCAACATGTCAACCTTCAGGAGTAAAACTGACTCGCAGGACAGAGTACCTCGCTCTTCAGTTGCCTCCGGAGGCCGGCCTTGGGATCGAGGATCTTACTCGAGGCAACCTGGATTTTTGTTTGTTGTGTCCCCTGGCTTCTTGATGTCATGTTTGTTTAGGCAATGCCCGTGTTGCGTTTTTTCCGTTGGGCAAATTCGCGCCTCGCGGCTTTACTTGAATACTGCCAATTCCATTGTTAGGCCAGGTCAGGCAAAAGGGCCAGGAATCATTGCCATGCCGTTGTATGCTTTTGCCTGAGGCTGTCCTTCGCTTTCCCTTGTAAATCAACCTGCAGTCGCTTAGCTTTTGCAGGTCCAGGTCTGGGGCGGGATGAGGGAGATGTTTGGGGAGGCCCAGTCAAGGATAGTTATCCAATCACTTCAATCTCAAAGTGCACCAGGCTGGCAAAGACTACTCCAAGCAGGCGGATGCATCGTCGGCGGGCGGGCGGGGGGGGGGGGGGGCTAAGCGCAAGCCGCCTTATGTGGCGCAAGGTTTCCGTAAACGAGCTGCAGAGCAAGGCTGCGTATCTTTCTTCGGGCATGTTCGGTGAACGTTTGCGCTTTTGGTTTGCACGTCGCACAGAAAGAAAGTTCCGGGCGCCCGTCACCTGCCCACCTACCCACAGACTCCAACTGATTCTTTCTGGGCGCGAAATGAAGGAATTCCGCCAACTTGTGTTGCAAACCCCCCGCCCAAAAGTACAGAAATAGAGGACTGTTCCAAGGAGGATTTGGGCATGCCTCTCGACGCTCCTGGTTGGTTTGGCTAGACTGTTTTCCCACCTGCTGCCATTACATTTGCCCAGAAGCATGCTTCGTTGTTAGCTTAGATTTGCATTTCCGCGTTCCTGTTCACAAGCTTCGGGGTGTCTAAAGCAGACTGGTGCAGAGGTAGCGTTGGGACTGCCGGCAATCGGTGCCAGCTTTTGGTCCGCTTTTTCAAGTCTTGCTGTGTGTTCCAGGGAACCCGCAGCTATTTTGGTGTCTTGTCGACATAGCATTAGGCTGTTCAACGTTGGATTCCAAGGATTTATACCAAGCAACATCCATGGGGAAGGTTTGGATTCGGCCCTTGGCATTCGGCTTTGGGATGCCGCAAGGCCCCAGGCATTTGGAAAAGGTGTTGGGAACTCTGGGAGAGAGTGAGGCCGAATGAGGCCAGTCCCATTGGGGGCACCTCTGGGGTTCTCAGTTCAGATTTCGGAGTGTGCCGATTTCGCCGCGGTCGCCGGGGTGTTGGGCGTGGCCCAGTCGGGAGTTCATGGTGCTTTTGTGAACTATGTGGTTGTGTGCATTGTTGATTGGGTTCGAAGGGCAGGGGTACAGCTGGTCATTTTTTATTTTTGTGTGTGTGGTACTGAACAACTCAGCTGGAAGCTCACGTGATACAAGGGCCGATATATCTACCGGGCTTGCGGGGTACTACTAAACCAAGTTACGCCTTCATCGTAGGACAGTACCGAGTATAGTTTGTTCGGCCGCTATCCGTTTGGATGCTAAACTCGGTATTTGCGACAATTTCTGGTTACCGACGCACCTACAACAACTGAAATCACTGGCGCTTGACTCGTTCTAGTCTGGTATATTTGGTGATTTGTTTGAGCATCCCGATGCGGGCAGCAAGAAGTCAACCCGTCATGCACCGACCAATTGCATTGCTTCACTGTTCTTGGCAATTGTTTTTTGGTTTTGGTTCTGTTCATGTTTAGTAGGGGGCTACGAAAAGACAAAGATTTGTGCAACCATACCGTTTGAGTTGTGAAGATTGTTACTGAAGCCGCGCCAGCTGCGGGGGCGGGCACGTTTGCGGAACATGGCTCCGAGGCAAGTAAGACAAACATTTCCATCAAACATCACCCCACTTCAAGCAGATGGTGTTAAGTTGGCAGGTGAAGAATGTGCAAAACCAATACAGAGGTGCAGAAAACTCACCTGCGAAAGAACATGCCACCCAAAAGGAAGTCCTTCAAAAGGTGATCCTCCAGGTTTTGGGGTGCATAAATTACGCGGAAGCCAGCTGGCTCAACTGCATGTACTTCCACAAGAAGTTTGCATGCCGAGTGGCTCAAGGACTATGGCGCTGGTGGTATGTGATGTGTGTACGCACCACGTACGCGGAGGGCAGCGCGGGCTGACACAGCACAAGGCCAGCCGGAAGTGCCGGGCTACGCTGTGCAAGCAGGGGATGACATGGTCCGATGCGCAAGCTGCCGCGGAATGGTGGCCAGTGGCAAGGACCTGGCAAGCTGAGTGGCAGATGGAGACGGTGGAGGTTGAGAACCCCGCGGTGAAGCGCGCGTGGGCGTCCAAGAAGCTGTTGCAGGGGCGCAACATCCCAGCAGGTTTCTTCTTTTTGGGTCCCGTTCATTTTGGGGGGCTGCGACGAACAAAGCTCCACCGAACAGCTGAACACTCTTTGGGTTGGCAAGTGTTAATTTTTGGTCTTCAACTTTTTGCAGAGCATGATTGTTTACCAAGTGTTCCCACTCACCGGCAACATGTTAAACGCTCCCAACAAGAAACACGAGGCCTGAGAAAGAGGGCCCCCATGGCATTTGTTTCGGGCCTTCTGTTCAAGTTCCATGTTTGTGTGTTTGTTTTTGGGAGGGCAACCTTTTGTGGCGGGCCTGCAGATATCCGGGGGCTGAGCGATAGGAGCTTCTCCTGCGGCTGAAGGAGGCTCCGAGGGCTGGATGTATTGTATTGCACGTGCCACGTCTCCTGCGATTTTGCTATCACTCCCTGAGTTCCTGAACTCGAACTAGTTTTTGGGTTTGAACCATTTCAGTGGTACAAATATGAGACGGAACCTGAAGATATGGCTTTGGTGTTTTGGGGGCATGAGACTACAGAGGGTTCGCGAAGGGAGTATCTTTCAACTCAGAGGAAATAGTCTTTTTCAAGGCACTTCCATGTGAAGGGGGATGCCCCTTCAAGAGGCAAGTACCTGGCGGATGAATGAACGCAACTCCTCCACAAACCGCGCGAAAGCCCTTCAAGGCTTGGTTTGTCTTGGTAATGCCATTCTTTGCAAGGACATAGTTAGATACTTTAATACCGGGGGCGTTCATTTGGGGTGGGCCAGTCCAGAAATGGCTTCAAAACCATCTCCTGCAACGGGGTAACCCATTCTTCCCATTTAGGCATCGACATGGGGCTTCTGCCGGGACGGGAGGTTGGGCTATGCTCATGGTCGCCGCTCAAGGAAAGCAAGTACGTGCCCCTGCGGGCGCGCCCCAACAATCCTCTTTAAGCTGATATAATCCACGCATGGAGAAAAGTATGTCTGTTTGGCACGTACTGGGGCACGTGGTCGTTGTCTATCTTAAGACTGACTGAAACGCGAAGAATCTGAAGATATGTTTGGGCCCCTTGGGGTTGGGCCAGGCTTTCTTCAGGGGAAGCTCGACAGAAGTCAGCTGGCAGCAAACGGCCGTCTGCCTCAGGTGGCCCAAATCCCAAGCCGTGATGTGTCTTGGCCCCTTAGGCCCTTGTTTGGCTACCAAAAAATTGGAAAGACTTACCCTCCCACCAAAGAACATGGAACCTGACAGGGGGTCCTGGAAGGAAATTTTCCTTCTAAAGCGACCCCCTGATGGGTTCCATGTTAATTGGTGGCCCGCAACTCCAGTTTACATGGAAACCCAAGCGGGGAACCCCAAAGATTCCGTGAAGCTTTGGGAGAAATCCCGTCCGCAGCTTTTATGGCTGCAGCCTTTGCCATCGCTTGGCGCCACTTTGATCACAGTGGGGCCCTCAGACATGGAAACCGGCCTGGGATTGATTCGCCACGCTCGGGTCCATTTGCCTCTTCATTTGGTTGAAAGCAAACGGCATCCCTTTCTTGTCAAACTAGAAACAGTATGAATTGCCATGATCGTGGGAATGTATTTCCATGGGGGCTGGAGGGGAGGGAAGGGCCTTATGAAGGGCTTAATAAGGGCGCCCTCAAAGCATTTGTCCTGCACTGCCTCGGCTTCGCTTTTTTGTTGTTGTTTCGATCAGAGATGAAGTGCCTAGACTTCTGTGTAGAAACCCGTGGGATTCCTCAACCTTCGGTCAAATGGCAACACCTGTTTTGATGAAACGAGACAATATTTGACAAGACCAAAGACAAGGAAAGTGAGCTTAAGGCGCCCGGTTGCGCAAAGCCAATCGACATTTTGACATGCTTATTTTTCCGTTTGGTCTTTTGGTCCATACATACTCAAGGTCACACAAGGTTATCTAACCTTTTATTTCTGGGTCTTAACTGGGGCATGTGAGCCCCAGTTAAATCTGGCGGGGAAATGGTGTGGTCTTAGGGATGCAAAGTCTTGTTGAATCAACCTACCGAACGCTTGTTTTTTTTTTTTGAAATGTGAACGTCAACTGGGATGCACTATGCTGTCAACTATACAAGTCATAGGGGAAAAGCGGCACAACAGCGGTGTCACCGAAACTGTCCCCAAGAAGAGCCCTTATTTTGGCAACGTCTGACAACACTGAGTACAGGCAAAGAACTAGCCTAGGCAACCAGCTGAATGGCCTGTTTAGTTGTTGCAAGGGTGGGAACCCTTCACCCAGCAAAAGCAAATTGCCAATGGCCTCACATTCGAAACAACAATTTGCTTATTTACATATATAATATACATATATATATATATATACATTCTTCTAGGCCCAATCAAATCGTCCATCTTGTTTTGCCCGGAGCACTTCGTGTGACACTCCCATGAGCCTTTGAGCAGTCCGCCAAACCCCGCATGTTGGTTCAAGCGGGGCGCCACGAGATGCCGAGAGATGCAGAAGTGTTAAACCGCCAACGATCGCACCCGTTGCGTCCATCGCTCGCTTCGACCCCTTCCGCCAAAAAGCCGATTCGTGAATCGACGTCATGGCGCGCGGGCGATTTTGTGGCTGGCTGCTGGTGGGGCTGCTCTCGCTGCAGGCCTTGCGGGAAAGTTGGCCAAGCCTTACACCCCAAACACGCACACACCCGGAAAGACAAGACCAACATGGTCAGGTTCGTGTGGTCCTCCATTTTATGCGCGAGAGAGAAGAGGAAGGGGGAGCGAGAGAGAGAAAGAGAGAGAGTGAAAAGTTGTAATTTCAGGGAGACAGAATCTGTATACAATACCTGAATCTATTAGTTGTGGTGTACCCCAGAGATGGGCCAAGTGTGCTTTGCTGTTGGACATCCCTTGGCAAAACAGCCAACGCCACTATGACCGGATGAGCATGCGCAAATTGGGCGCACGATTTTGTCAAGCTACAGCTATATGATATTTTCAATTGCGGATTTGTCCAACGGAATTTGCTTGTGGCACACGGGGACGGCCTTCTAGCCAAATTGCTCAGTGGGGTCCACCGCATGCCGTCCAAACTAGTTGCTTTCGACATGGCTTTTGTTTTCTTGGTGGGGGGTGCGAGTTGGTAGCTGGCCCGAGGGACTACATTGGACGTGTCCTTTTTTGAAGGGGACCCTCTTTTGGTTGGTTTCAAGGGAAACCAAAAGCAAAGCCACGATTTCGGGCGGTGCCCTAAAACAGACATGCCCATTTGGCAGCCACACCCTGCTGGTCAGGTGCTCAACTTTGTTACGCCGCCGAGCGTGAGGAGAGAAGTCCAGGCCTTCGGACATCCGTCTAGACGTCGCAGGGTGGTCGTCCCTTTTGGTTGACGGGACCCAGCTTTTGAGACAAATGAAAAGCCAAAAAGGGGAATTCAAGTTGTTGCCAAAAAGGTGATTTGGAAGGGGAAACCAGAAGGTCAGGTCACTCGCTTGCAAGTCGGCGAAGGGGTGTCCCTCTCTGTTGTATCTCTTTCAGACTCTCTTTCAGCCCTTGGGATGGATTCATTTGCGCATTTGATGTCGAGCTCGCCAGGGAGCATCAAGCGAGCTCACCAAATTTTAGGTTCTTTACCTGTACGATCCCTTACTTCAGAGTTCGACATGTCCTGTAGGATGTGCAGATTCATGCATGTGGCACCGAACATGCCCTAGGGTGTGCGATGTGGTTGCGTGGCCTTGAACGATCCTGCTGGTTTGGGACAGCTGTCATTTGGATCCCTTCGAAATGCACCAGGCGCCTGTTTTTATTTCTGCGCATGTTCGACATGATTTATTCGGTGAGCCAAGTTTTACCACTAGTCCAATAGCCTCTTCCATGGGAAGCTAATGGGCAAGTGCAACATGGAATCTGATCATGCTTTTAGTAGTCTCTTGTTTTTGTTTTTTGTTTGGAGGGGGGGTGGCGGCTGAATGGCATTTAGGTGCGCAGGCTCCCTTTTCAAGACTCAAATGTCAAGACTCAAATGTGTGTTTCAAAAGTATGTACATTCCCTTTGCTGATGGTCAGATCATGACGTGAAGGTTGGGCTTGCAGCCGACCTCTTCGGATAACATCGGGCCCAAGCTCGTCTACAATTTTTTTTCGCCTGATCACGAAACAAGACTGAATGTGGGTGTGTCTCGATTTAGGGCCCACAATAGTGGTTTTCCTTTTAGCTTTCGCAAAAAGAACACCAACAAAGGGGTACCCTTAAAAATAAGACTCGCCCATGTGGACGTCTCGGTCCTTAGAGTTTTGACCATCTTTTGTCCTCGGCAGCGTGCTAAAAGCATCCACAAGCCGCGGGGGGGGGGGGGGGGCCTTTGAAAAATGGATTCCTCGAACCAGGGGACGGTTTTTGTGGCTATACGTTTCTTTGCTAATCTATAGCACCCTTTTTAAAGATTGTTTAAAGCAGCTTCCACAAATGGATGGTTTCTAATTAGTCTGTACCACCCCTTCAAATATTCAGGCATCCCCTTGTTGGTGGTTTGGATCGGTGCTTTGGGAGTTTGAACCCATGTTTCTTGTTGAGGATAAGTTGTGTTTCCCACCCCTACGATTCAAAGCACCAATCCAAACCACAAATTGGAGGGAAGCTGAAGTCTCTATCTCATTCCCGTAATTCCTGGACTTTAGGCTCACTTTTTTGCTTTGGGCAATTTTCTGACATTAAAAAAGTTCGGCTACATTGAAAAGTTTGGTTGATTGCTTTTTTGGGGGCCTATCCACTTGTTGGGGGTTTGAGCTATACCCCTTCGATCGGAGGTGGGCCGAGCGGCGGAGGGCAATGCCTTCGGAGGGCTGAACCAGGCGCTGAGAGCTGCAGCGCTGTGGCGATTTGTCCGTGTTGTTTGTTTGGGGGAGGAGGGCATATTTTTTCCATTCTGTTTGTTGCGGGGCGTTTGTGTGTGTGTGTGTGCTTTTCTTGCCGTGCGGTTTTCCCTGTTTTTCTATCCAACAGCTGGGGTAAGCTGTGGTGTGTTTCTGCAACGGTACCACATGGGCTTGTTTGGGGGGTGGGGGGAGTGGGGGGCGGCCGGTTCTTTTCCTCCATGTGTTTTCTGGTCGGGGGGCGCGGCGGGCCGTTAAAATCAACCACGCCAAGACCACTGCAGGTTGGACTCAAGCCGCCAATCCAGACCACTGTTTTAAGGTGGAAAAGGGGGGCAGCCTCCTGTTTTAGAAGGAAGCCACTTGTTCGAACCCATCCAAGGGCTCGGTCACCCGAGTGAAGTTTTGAGTGGCAGGAGCAGCGAAAGCAGATGGCCGACATTTTGGCACCTCCCGACCAGCTCATGGAGGTGAGGTGAAGCTTTTTCCCCGGTTGCAGGGTAGCTGACGGCGGGAATGTAGGATTTGAAGCCCTGGGTCTTGTAGAGAATAAATGGGAAGTCCCCCAACCTCCAAATCACCAATTGGAGGGAAGCTGATTCACCATTGAAACTGATTCCGTCACATCGAACAATGGGGCGGAAGACCACTTCCAAGAGCAAAGCAAACGGAACTGCGTGCCCACTGTTGTACCAAACCACCAATTAGAGGGAAGCTAAGACCCCAAATCCGGGTCGCTCCTTGGCAGTTTGGTTCCCACTTCTGATACCAGGATCTCCTGGGTGATCAAAATACGGTGGATGGACCAAATCCTGCACCACCACTTGGAAACCATGGTTTCCCAATTGTTTGTTGGTATTTGTAGGGGAATCATCCAGGGTCTCTTAGGTGCCGGATCTCCATCCATATAGGCAATTTGTTTGGCCTCTCCTTTTAAACGACGGAGCGGGCGCGAGGGTCCAGAAAGGGGCCGTTTGACAACGCCCCTTGGTTTGATCCTTTGCCTTTGCCGTAGCGCTTGAGAAAACAGGTTGTACGCTGAAGAAAAGCTATCACACGCGCCCCCATTTCCCACACCACGTGCTTCAGGGGATCGGGTACTTCATCTCCTGACCCCCAATTGGACCCCGGTTTGGCTTTTGTTCTCCGGGAGGAATGTAAAGGCAAACTTGGTGACTGGACACGCTGTTTGGTGACGCCTCAGCTCACGTTCAACCAAGGCAAATCGATCGACCGGGCTAGCATTTGTAGCAAGGCGATCCAAGGGGTGAAGTCACCTTTGACTTCCCAGGTCCTTTGGTTGCAAGCGAGCCTCTTAACTCGCTTTCTCTCTCTCTCTCTCTCGATCTTTTTCTCTGTCTTTGGCTCTCTCCCTCTCGCTCTTTCTCCCTCTCTCTCACGCCCTATCTCTTTCGCTCTCTCTCTCTCTCTCTCTCTCTCTCTCTGCCTCTCTAGGTGTAATATACCTGGAACCTCCGAAAGTATAAATTTCCGTACATGTCTGGAAAAAACAGTGCATGAAAACGCTTTTGGAAATTTGACGGAAATCGCCTTTAGCAGGCTGTGAGCGTTTGTGGGGTTCCAGGATGCACTTAAGCACAGTTTGTAATTTATATAGCCCCTCATACTTCACTCCGCTTCATGTCTTACGTCTCCATTTGCTGTGACGTAACATGTGACAGCTTTCTTGCCGCTTTTGCAAGTTCGCTGTTTTCTCATCCAAAATGCAGAAGCCGGAAATGGACGAAAATCGGCAGGAAATGGACGGAAATCGGCAGGAAACGCACGGAAATCGGCGGGAAAAGTACGGAAATCAGCGGAACATTTGCTTGGAGAAATGCGCACCTTTTGTCCTTGGTGAATCGCACACATTTACTCGGCTTTTCGGCCCATGAGTAATAGCTCTAGGGCCGGAGATGAACGCGCATGCACGGATTTGTTGCGGACATTCGCAAAACAAGTTCCCTTGGTTGGTCCAGATACCTGTGAAGCCTAAAAGTTTCTTTTATTTTTGTTCAGTCTTTTCGAGAAGACTTTTTGTTCCATGAAACGGCATTTTTCCAAACTTCGATTCTTTTTTTAGTTTCGTGGGTGGAGTGCATCTTGGACGGCCAAACAAGGGAGGAGACAACCCAGAACAAAGGAGGAAACTGACGGAAAAGGGCGGAGAAATCCGGAAATCTTTGATATATATATATATATGGCAGAGATATCTCTTTGTCTCTCTTTGTCGCTCTCGCTCTGTCTCTCTCTCCCTTTCTCTCTCCCTCTCTCTCTCTCTCTCGCTCTCTATCTATATGTGCACATGTATAGTTATGTGTTTCTTTCTATCTCTCTTTCTCTCTCTCTCTCTCTTCTCTACTTCTCTATCTCTTTTCTCTCCCGCTCTTCTCTCTCTATCTCAATGTCACTCCCCTCTTCGCAGGCCCCCTATATATTTTGACTATTGTGGAGGTCATCGAATTCGGCAACTGGGGCCTCGCCCTTCAACCACCCTTTGGCTGCCTTTGTTCTGGGTTGGCCCGTTGGTTGTGAGTGGGGCATGGACGCAAAGGCAAACTGTGAGATTCCAGGTCTCTTGCAAAACAATGGATGGCTGAAGCAGATGGAGACTGGTTTAGCTAAATATGTTTCATTGAATTTCCATTAGTTGTATTTTTCTCGCAAACGTGAGGTGGAAGTCTCGGTGTGTAAACCTTGAATTCCCGGGTCAGGCATGGAAGTTCGCTTCAGGAGACGGAAGATGGCATGATCTTGCGGGAGAAGTACTCCGGGGGGCGTTCTCCCACCTCGGTGTTCTGGGCCATCGTTCAGCCGGCGGCCGCTCGAAGATGTTTTCTGCACCCCCGGGGTTAGGCTCGGACTCACTTCCTGAGTTCCTGGACTTCAGACTTTTTTGGAAAATAGTTTTAGTGGCCAACAAAAACTTTGGACCTTTTTCTTTGCCAGTCTACTCAGGAAGTGTGTTGACACATGTTGACTCAGGTAACCCCTAATTCGTGGTTGGATTGGTGGGACTTGGGGATTTGAGTCCTGGTTCTTGTGGAAGGTAAATGGGAAGCCCCTCCTTACACACACGCCAGTTAAGAGCAAGCTGATTGAGCATCGCTTTGACAAATACGCCAGGCATGAGGGAACAGAGGAGTAATCAACTGGTTGATTGATACGGGGTGTCCCGCAACACTGGACCTGGCAGGGTTGCCCCATTCCTAGAAGATGACGAAGCCCACGGGTGGACAACTGGCGAACCGTTTCCTGCATCTTTCATCCGAGCAGTCCCTCCCAACAACATAGAACTTGTACAGGGGCTGGAAGACAACTGTCCTTCTGAGTGCTTGTTCCTGCGCAGGTTCCATGTGCTTGTGTTTGAGGGCAATTCTCTCCCCTGCCCAGATCTTTGGAGCAACCCAGTGGTTACTGTTGGTTTCCTGCACAACTCACCAGAAAGAGGCTCTTGCATTTCCAATCCCGATCGGTTGGATTTGTTTCCCTTTCAACCGGACCGGTCTTCCACCTCGCATTCTCGGCAACAAAAAATCGCTGTCCTGTAAGCTTGGTTCCTTGAAACCCATGAACAACCCCGCTGAGGATGTGTGCGAGGGTCATTATGTTTGCTTCTGGAAGGGCGGTGCTTCTGATGGTAAAACCACATTCTGCTAAACAGATGTGCGAGGTCGATCCCCTATGTGGCTGTGGGTCAAAACCGTGTACCCCTGGTGAACATCAAAATAGGTGGCAAATGGATGTTCATCCACGCCAAAATGAGAGCCATAGGTTATGCCCCCATGCGAAAATTCTTCTCGGCAGAGCCGAGATCTCATTGGGCTTTTTGGTGGTCGGGATGTCTGCCTACTTCGGGGAGCCCATCGTGGACTGGACCCCAGCACCTCGGCGCTTCGGGCTTCGGGGCGCCTCGGGGCATTTTGGGACGCCGGCTTCAGCGCGGGGCTGGTGTGCAACCCATGGATGGAACAAACCTGGCTGTATTTCGTGTGTGTGTGTGTGTTTTTTTTGGCCCCTCTTTCAAGGGAAGCCAAAAGGAACATTTTCGGGGACCCGCTATTTTGACACACGCCCTCTGAAACAAACCAGCCTTAGCCGGAGGGGGGGGAATTTGGTAGGGGGCCCCTTTTTGCCGCCCACTTGCCAGCCCCCCCCCTCCTTCGCCGCGGAGTCTCCGAGTCTCCGTCAGGTGACCTCCCAGTTCCTGGGCTTCCTGCGGCCCTCGGAGGGCATCAACTTCCTGCCCCAGGGCGCCTTCATGAGCTTCTACGGCCCCTTCGGCCGAAGTGAGAAAAAAAACATCAAGCCCACGCGTTTTTTGACGGACGCCATGGAGCTGGATGGTGCTGGTTTGGATTGCTGGCCTCTTTAAGGGGAGCTTGTGGGGGGTTCCATTGGAACATGACTGGCAAGATATTGCCTGTTGACCTTTTCCCGGAGACGATGGCAGGGCCGAAAACCAACGGGTTTACTTCAGGGGTCACTCAATTTCCCTTGTCTGGACCTCAATTCCCACCACCCCCCAACCCAGCAGTGTTCAATCCGGGCACACCCCTCCTCGATAGACCTAATTGTTGTTCGAACGAGCAAGCCCGTCGAGAGAGACGTCCAAGGGCTTAAAAGCTGATCCCTGACGTCTTTGGGGGGCGAAGTCAAAGTCATGTTATGGCAGTTCAAATCAACGCGCAACAGTCCTTATTTGGGAACCTTTCTAAAGCTTCTTACAAATTCCATAGGGTTGGTGATCAACCCTAGTAACCCCAAGTAAAAGGCTGTTTTGATCATGTCACATATGCTGGAGCTACAGCAAGTTGAGCCATAGCAACCACTTAGTGACTACTGGGCTAGTGACTGTTCGCGGCCATCACCTTCCCATGGATTGCGCGTCAGCCGTCAGCCCGGAACCATTGCATGTAGAGATGCAACTGGCGTGTACTGCTTGGCAAGCAAGGTTCTTGGAAGTGGGGATGGCAATGCAGCAGCGAGTGGCAACAATGGCACGAGTAGCAACAGCAGCAGCAGCAGCAGCTTCTACTGGTGTTGTCGATGTAGTTGCTGCTGCTGCTTTTGCTGCTGCTGTTGGTGCCATTGGTGTGTTGGTGGCGTCGGCGTTGTTGTTGGCTTCGGCGCTTGTGTTGACGTTGACCCGGTCGTTGCTTTTTTTTTCCCTTGAAACAGCCACCGGCGCCGGATGCCCAGGCTTTTTCGGCTTCTTCCTCTTCGGGCCCATCCAGCAGCTCAGATGGGATGGTTCTTAGCCTTCTTGGCATCCGAACGGAGCCCATTTGCTAGCACCAATGCCACTTGAACTTACTAGGTTGCTTTGTGGTCAAAACTTGGGTCCCGGGTGAATCGACAGAAACTGACTTTTGGTTTGCCGTGAGGGTATTCAAAGAGGAAAGTATGACCGCTGGCCCCTACAAGGCTAGTTTGGCACGTAATGTTTCGTGTCATACGGAACGCGGTTGCAAATCCAAATCCTCGGTGAGGTTGCTGCGGATTTTTTCCCTGGACTGGTGGCCAGTGTCACCCCAAGAACTCTAAACTCATCCTCCCAGCCAACGGTGCGATCGCAGTTATCTCTTCCATCAGCGTGCGGAAACGGAGAGTTGCTTACTACCGTCGCTAGCTGTCAGTTTGTTCATTCGCTGGAACTGTACAAACATGGGTCCTGGGTAGAAGTCAAGGATGGCGTGGTATACCATGAATCCAAGCCATGTTGGATTGCATGCTCAATAGGGCGTGTGTGTGTGGCAATATTCAACAATATCCGCGCGTGTGTGGTCCAGCCCTTGATGTCCCAAATGCCAACCAATAGCCACTATTCAGCTGCAATGGCTCTGGCTTTGAACCAGTATAGGATCTATGCAAAATGAAGCATGTGATGCTTGCCCAAAGCGCCTGGAAATACAGGGTTGGGCTTGTAGAATGATCGTTTTACCTGATTGCCATTGAGGAACGCATCACTCACGGCAGAATGCTTGCAGTTCAGCAAGTCAGGCAGTTTGACAGGCATGCGAGACATGGTGACTTGCTTTGTCCCAGCCGCGGCCAGACGCTCAGTTACAAGGTGGTACATCAACGTCTTCAACATCGGCCGGGGCGTGTGCGAGTTCAACAAGTTTGACGGCTGCTCGACTTTGCTTTCTGACGCGTCAGTTGCGCCATTCTTGAACCCCTATTGAGCACGCGTGGGCGAGCGAATGCAGGTTTGGCACCGATCTGACCTCTTGGCTTTCCCTCTCCTTGCAAGTAAGTTTCTGCAAGCCTCGCTCCCTGGATCTCCCTGAGTTCCTGGACGGTTTACACTTGGGAAGATCATGTTGGTGGTCAATCAAGAACCTTGTTTCGGCCAATCAATTCGATCGTAAGTGAGTAGCCATGACGCCTTCAAATGTGTTGCGGGGGGACTTCTAGCCCTTGAAACTGATTCCGTCAAAAAGCATCGAAGCATGGCGGAACTGAGTGCCCACTGTAGTACCCAGGGGCATCTACAAAAGAGCTGGTGAAAGTGCCTCAGAGGCCTCATCCGTTTGGAGAAAGTTCGATCCCCCCCACCTTTCCCAAGGGCAAGCCCTTGCTTGAACTTACCTTCCCTCTAATTCATGGTTATGATTTGTGGTTTGGAGGGGGTGGTGTTTCACTGAACCAGGGGTTAACCCCCCAAACCACCAATGCACCAATGCAAATGCAGGATATCCTGACTAATCACCTCTGGACGATTGGATCGATCAAACTTCCAGCCCTTCCCACAGAAACCTGGCGATTGCCGCGCCCAGAAATGATGTACATCGTGCGCAACGACGAGATGATCCGAGAGGCCCTTTGTTGGGTTCCCCGTTGGCGTCCAAATGAGGAGCCACGATGACAGGCTACCCTTTCAGGCTACCCTTTCAAAATGGGGCGGACGGGGTGCGGTGTAACATGAATTATTGTTTCTTCACCAATTTCTGGGAAAGAAATACATCGGGCAGACTCTAAACGTTCTTGTTGAGGCTCTGGCTGCGGTTCTTGAGGGTAAATGGGAAGCTACTCCCTAACTTCCAACCACCACACCAAACCCCCAAGTAGGGGAAGCTGAACTTTAAGGGAAACCAACAGGAGAACCTCGATTTTGGGGGTCCCCTAGTTTGACTCACAGACCGATTATTTTTTTGTTACATAGTTATGACTCCAAATAGGGGGACCAAATGTTCTAGAAAAGTATCTTTGCATATCAACACTAGGGAGTTGTGGTTCACACACTATGAACTCCTCAGGCAATTTGCTTAACCGCCCTGGGCAACATCCGGTGGCTGTGGAATCCACCAGTTCTTGCCCTTGTTTGGCACTCTGTTTGTAGCCTTTTGTTGGGTGGCTCCACAGCAGGCGCGTGTAATCGCACCCTCGCAGCTTAAAGTCGCGCGTTGAAGAGGCCTGGTTACTTGGGGTTGATAAGGACTGGGGTCATTTGACGGTGTCTGGGAGTTATCAAAGTCAGTAAATGGAATCTGTTGTTTCCCTTTAGTCCACCACTTGGGTGACTTTGATCATGGTAAAATACTGAGGCCAGAAGGATATAGACTTAGGGAAATCGGACAATGGTAAATGTTTCCATCAAGAGAACCACACCGCCTTCACCATGCTTGTGCATGTTGTTTGACGGAGTGTCACGTTGTGTTCACATCGCTATTCCTCTTTCCTTCCCGAAATTTCGGGACCATCAGACGAACCATGATTTGATTTCCCTCCTGCCTTCCTCTTTCACGTGTTTGTCTAGGTCCCCCAGTAGTGTCCTGGTACCTTTTTTTGGTTGGGAGGCTTCCCTTACTAAAATAGACAGAGCCAAAAAATCGGGTACCCTTATTCTAACCTCAAACTGGAGGACCTAGTTGTTTCCCCTGGTTTCAACCTGGCCCCTTCGGAGCGGCGGTGTGGGGATCGTGGCCGGCCCCCAGCCGATGGCCAGCCGATGGCCCCCGAGCCGACGGCATGGGCCAGGTCCCCTTCAAGGACTTTCAGGCCGTGAAGTTCGAGTGGACCAACCTGGCGATCCTCGGGGCCCGGGATGTGTACCTCATTACCCAGGACTGTGGCTTTTCGGTGAGCTTGGTGAACATGTATAATATATATATAAATAATAAGTTGTTTGTATTAAAAAAAAAAAGAAAGAATCAAAACAATGAGAACACAAAAACCGTGGAAACACATGGGTTCCACTGGGATTAATTTTGTGCCAGATTTCACTGGGTTAGATGGGTTTTGTGCCCGATTTGCCTGGGGCCATATATCTTTCTAAAAGGTCACCTATGCCCAGGACGACGTTTTTCTGGGCGTCATGCTCCTCACCATCAGTCGCCATTAAACGAAGACCTTCTGGTGACAGAACAACTGTAGGGCCTTTGAGGGCGCCCATCGAACAGTTGGGACAAAATCCCCTGCCCCCCTCCCTACCCCGACCTGGAAAGGCTCAAGCTGAATCCTTCTCGCAACCCCAAGAAGATTCTATCAACTCAGGGCTGGGAGGCCATTGGATTTCCCTGTTTACCTACAAGGGTAGCAAGATCTAGCGTGTGCATTAAAGTGCCCCTTGGTTTTCAGCTATGAATGTGTATGCAACTCAACATGACACTGTTGCCCAGTGGCACTGTTCATTTCGAGTTTGTTGGAGAGGCTTCCCCTTTGAAATCAACCAACCAGCCAAACCGGGGTGCCAATGTTAGTATTTTCAGTGGGCTGAGAGCTTGCCCCGGAATCCCTCCGGGGTTAAAAAACCGCAGGACGGGAAGGAGATCCATTTCATGGACGACCCCGAGATGTCGGGGACCCTGGTACCGACTCTTTCCTTCCATTCGCCTCAGAATATTGGTTGATTCTTCCTTGGTGTCAAAGGGAAACGATTTCACTACTGGATATATTTTTATCATGTTTTCCAGGGCGCGAAAAAAGCAAATGGGAGCAAAGCTGTTGGTCTTTGGCGGGCGCCATGTCAGACGCGTGTCTCGTCATTTTTTGAGGTACGCCCCAGCCGGTTCCATGTACAGTGGCCTTGGAGCTCCATGTTGCAGCAGGGCACCCCTTTCTTGGTGGCGTTTCATGGGGAACCGAAAGGGGGCGGGGGGGAGGCCAAAAGACACACCCATGTTTGTAGATGGTTCTACCTGGCTTTTTGTATGTTAAGGCCGGCCTGCCTGATGGTTTAGGTTGGTAAGGTCGTAACAGTATGAACCTTTACACCTATGTCCGGACATGTGCGTTTGTTGGTGATTTGCGGTCTTTCCATGTTGCTTTTTCAAGTGACATGGTCATGAGTTTAACATGTTTTAAGGTCCCTTTAGCTTTGTGCACCCAACACAAATGGAAGTTGCCGAAGTTGGAAAGGGAAGCCAGGCAACACTACAGTACCGCCGTCGCATGTAGCCATGGCGTGTCCCAGTCCCTCAAGAGGCAGCACCCAGTTCAGGTACCTTCCGACAGGTGCTTGGTGGGGGGGGGGGCTGCAAAGAACAATCACACGTTTAGTTAGCAAGTGACTTGTTTCGCCAGCCCCCGCCTCCCGACAGCCCCGACAAGGAACCCTATATACATCAAGCCACGTCCCCAAAGACCCTTTCAGACAATGTGGCTGTGTTTTACAGGGAAGGCCTGGATACCCAGTTCCTTTTAGTGTTTGAGGGGTGGTCTCTTCTCTTCATGTTTTGTGGGGCGGGCCCCGTTCTCTGACACATCTTAGGTTGGGATGAGAGTTACGCCTCCAAAACACTGGCTGCCCAACCATGAATTTGTGGCTAGGTTCGGTGTAGGCTTTGCCTCCCCGGGTACCTCAAGGTCCGCCCAAAAACTGCGAGCACGGCAAGTTCACATACGCCTACCGTGGGGCCACGGCTTCTGCGCAATTCATGGAAAATACCCTTCCTCAGGCGATTCCATGCGCTCTCAGAAGTAAGCATCGATGGCTTGGGAGTTGGCCAAGTGGTTACCTCCTTAAAACCGCTGTGGGCCCTTTGATCAATAAATCTGGAGCTGGCCTTTGGATCTTGCTTTTGCGGTTCTGTTTGTGTCTAGTCAGGCAAGAGTTCGGCCATCATATGATGGTCAAAAGACCTGTTTGCTTGTTGTTGGCAGGGATGGCCATGCCCCTTAGGGATTTCAGACAACCGGAGAAGCACTGCGACGCATGAGCCTTTTACATTTTAGAGAGCAAATACATACATATATATATATACATGTGTTGGTGGTTCCCAGGCACCCCCTTAGGTTTTAGTTTTTTTGGGTGCAGTAGGGGTTTCCATACCCACTAAAAGTTCAACTTTTACGAGGGGACCTGACGACAGCCCAGGTATCCACATATATAGATATATATGTATATGTTTCTGCATATACACATACATAGAGAGAGATTCTCTACGGAGATATACAATATATAAATCAGTACTGCCCTACTCCTGTCGCGGCTGGGTACCTGGGTCTCCCGGCTGCGGCTCAGTTACAGCAAGTTCGTCCTGGAGAAGCGCGCCGCGAAGCTCTCGGAGTTCCTGGACATCGAGCTCATCGTGGACGACGCCTGAGCGACGCGAAGAGCGAGAAGCGGCCCGCTGAGAAGTCGGACCAATTTCGGAGAGTCGCGAAGGCCCGTTGATGTTGTTTCTTGTTTGTTGGGTCATGCTGAGTCTAAGATAATTTCAGCTAGTTCCAAACCAAACCAAATGGAAATGGGGGGCGGGGGTGAAGGCTACTTGGTTGGACGTGGAAGTATTCCTGAGTACCCGTGACCCTTGCAACGTGGGTTCATATGCCAAAAACTCCAGAAATCTGTATTTTTGCAACTTGTTTCGGAGTGGACGGATAGTTTCCTCACACAGCCACTATAAGTAAATATATATATATATATATGTACACCCAGATCTTCGGTGGTGCACTTTCCTCAATTCTTTTTCGGCAGTTGTCCTTGCAACATTTGACAACAATAGTAACAGCCAACCAACGAAAGGTGCCATTGGACGTGGTATTGTGCATGGAGTCTTCATAACCCTTGAAACATGGGCTTGTTTACCCCCATGTGGTCTTGACTTTGGATCAAGAATCATCTCTCTCCCCAACTTTCCGGGCCAGAGGATTGACTGTTTGCTGCTCAAATGAGCAACTGCGCATTTTCCGTAAGAACTAGTATGGTCGCAGAAAGGATAAATCCAGTAAGTGGTCCGGGAAAGCAAAATTTTGAAACTCCGCCTTGAAATGGTGAGGAACACATGCACACAAATACAGATGTATAATATATACTGAATATATATATATATATATATGTATAAATATATACACATATATATATATATTCATATATATATATGTATACATATATATAATATATATGTATATACACATTTATATCGCCGTAGAAAGAGAATGAGATCCACCCAAGAGAAGCCTGGGAGCAGTTCCAAGTAGTACTTGGTTGCTGAATGGATTGGCCAAAACAAGTGCAACCTGTTGGTTGACGGGATGATAGCCGTTCTGCAGTGTAGTCAGATTTGGAGCTTCACGGAGAAACTGAGAAGAGTTGGGAGTGATGCGGAAGTGGTTGATGGCTGTTGCATTGTCATATTAGTGTCCGTGCGCATCACCAAACCGGCACAACAATGCAACACAAATGCGTCATTTGGCTGGCAAGACGGTGCCTGGGATTTGGCGGCTGTTCAGCCGCCAACCACCACCCCAATTTGGCGAGAGGATTTCGGTGGGAATCCTGGAAGCCGCAGGCGCTTCCGCATTCACGGAAGCCGCGGCTGAATTCCCTTGGTCGGCCGCGTCGCGCCGATGTGGTTGCCAACTTTCACCCATGCGCAGCGTGGCACTGCGTCGCTTTTCCTGGAATCATTGTCATGTTTGGCTTGACCCGACATTTGAATGAACAGCTTCTCGACAGCTGGATTGTACAATTTCCCGCCCGTATTGCAGCTCAGCATATGTATGCCTCCACACCCCAAATAATGTTTGGAGGCGGGCAAAATCCACAAAAAAGGCCCTTCCCGATGCATCTCCCCTTTGTGAGTGCAAGGGAACATGTGTGGCTGTCAATGCTGACCAACCCTTGGCAAGTCCATCCTGGATACGCCCAACACCATTGGCTGCTTGTGTTGATCTTGGGCTCTATACTTGCGCAAAGCGGGGTCTTGCTCGAACACTCGGAGTAGCCCTTGATACGCCGGGGACTCCCCCATAGACTGCCTCAGTTTCTTGCACACCTGGTTACTTGAGCAATTCTGAAGGAAGCGAGCGCGCCACGATCGCGCGGAATCGCGGAATCGGAGTGGTTTTGGTTTTGTGCCTTGCTTGCCAGTCAGTCAGCGAGGCTAGACTCATGCGATGCGGAGCAAAATGTGCAAGTGCCATTCTGCTGCTACAAAATCAAGGCAGTTCCCCAGGGCGCAGAATAATGTTACACCTCCTTTCTTAATAGCACCCTCTATCATTTCAGGGTCCAACATTAGCGAGCAAACCGCACGTTTTCCTTTACGAGATGGACAAATCTAGCCTTGTGTATCTCGGGTCTTCTTGGAGCAACTCTGATGTCAGTCTTACTAGAAAGTAATCAACCCGCCATTGTTCATTCCGTGGTTTCCAGCACCCAGTTTTGCAGTGGCAGCCCGTTGGCCTTTGTATTTGGTGGTCACCCCAAGCAATGGTTGGTTCAGTGGGGGTGGGCTTCCAGCTCAAAATGGCGCTTACAACATCCGACAAAGTGTTTTTCCCCCTGTGGCTAGTAGGGATCTCTGCCAAAGACACAAGTGCCCAAAGCCGCCCTGTTGCCCTTTTGGTTTCCCGGAGTTTAGTAAAGATCCCAACTGCTTTAACTGTCATTTCCAGGTTCAAACTGGGCTGAGAAAGACGCAGCTCCCATTGCAATCCTTTCTTATGCCAAGCCGCAGATGTCCGGAGGTCATGGGTGCAGAACCGGGAGTTCCGCCTAGGGCATGGATGCCAAGCTAGTCGTTGGGGGTGAGGGGGGGGGTCGACTGGGGATGTGGTTCTTTCAAAGGGATTGCCTTGAGAACTGGGAAATTTGTTGAACATTGTCGGGCTGATTGGTTGCTTCTTGCGAATTCACCTGTGCAGTATCTGAATGACTCAATGACTTTGCCCGCTTGGGCTGAGTTGATGCATGTTACGTTTTGCCGGTGGCTGAAAACATGGCATTGAAGCACGGCATGTGTAGATACAAGGAGTTGGGTAGTTCCTTTGTTGCTCTTTCGTCCTTCCGAACCGAACCATAGTCCCTCAAACATGTTGTCCATTTCGGTTGCTTTTTTAGGGGGTGGCATGAGTGAATGTTTGGCTACCCCTAAGTAATCGGTGGGACTACGGTGGGAAGTTTAAAGCCTCTACCCCCATGCAGATCAACATGGATCCCCAAAACACCTCCTCTCCAGAGGAAACTCCTTTTTCGGGGGCCCTTTCTGAGTTCTATGTGAATGTCCGGGAGTACTAATTGGGGGTGTCCGAGTTTCAGCTCAAGACGCCTTTCTTTGCCCAAAGAATTGCGAGCGGATGCGGGGCCAAGATACCCACAGCGAAATCACCCATATGCTCCTCAACACTTGCCCAGAACTCTGTGTGTGCATCACTGCCTGTGGGAAGTTCAGAAAAAAATAAAAATAAAAAAAAGAGAAACAAAAACGGCCCTTACAAGGACTTAACAGGCAACCAGGGCATACCATGGTTTACAACCTAAGCGAACATGTAAGACAAGAGGATTCGAAGGGCTGATAAGGGCCATCACCCCGTAATTGTTCATGCAGGTTGTCCACATCTGGTAAGGGGTGCCCTTTTGAAACAGTCCCCATCGCTTCCCGTGGGTACACGGAGAATTACGTGCAACCAGGGGTTCTTTGCCAATTGCTGTTTTAGTTTTGTAAAACATGTTCACATGTTAGGATGGACTAAACATACTGTTCTGTGTCCCTGTGTCCCCAGATGTGGGCCAGAGGCGATGGTGCTGTGCGCGGATTGGTGCAACATTTGGGCCGGGCGGCTTAGAGCTTGTTCCTTTTCACTCGGACGGGTCCTGAATCAAGAAACCGTGGCGTCTAGAAAGCATTGCAGATTCATAGACTTTCTGGTGCACAGGGAATGAGGGAATGACCCTTATAAACCATTCCTTGTGGTTTCCTTTACGGGAATCCCTGTGTTCATTCCCACATTCTCTTTGTGAGCACCAGCAAGTAGAGAAATGGTCGAGCAAGGTGAGCGGTTGACTGGAGCTATCGAACGCCGAGAACCTCGCTTGCCTTAAGGAGCTTGCTAGGGGTAAGATTGACTTCCTCAAGCTGAAGGTTGCGTCGCCCGGCAAAAAATGAAACCATTGGCGACAACGGTTGGGTCCAACTGACCAAAGGGGCACCAAAGCCCAACATCAATCAGCCTGCTTTGCAAGATCTCAAACGGCTTCTTGGGATCGAACGTCCCAGGCTTTCTGGCTCAGGGCTCTGGTTGCTGTTGGCAACCCGGAAAGAAAAGTTGCGGCCGGTCGGCCTGGAAGGCTTTACAAACCTCCGAAACTTCCCCTCGCGACACTCTTTGTCGATTCCTGGTGCCATTTTCGGAGCCTCACTCCCCGAGTTCCGGGACTTTAAGACTTGCTGGGAAGACCATTTTACTGGTAAATAGAAAGTTTGGACTTTTTTGGGCAATCCACTCAGGAAGTGAGGAGCCCTTTGTCGTTTTGATCACCTGTTGCCAGTTCAAAGATGGACCTTTTCCAGGTCAAAGCACATGTTTTGGTCAGGGCCCTGCATATTTATGCTACATGACTATGCATGCGGGTATGATTTCGGGGAACCACCAAGATGGCGGTTGTCCTTTTGGTTGCCTTGAAGCTAACCTCAACAGGGCACCCGCAACGAGAAGCTCGTACATACATTCCCCAAGTAATGGAATCCCTGAAAGTAACTCGCTGGACATGTAGCTCCAAATAAATTCCACCACTTCCGTTTGTGTTTCATAATGCGTTTTGCCTGAAAGAGAAGCAAATTCAGACCGATTTTCTCATGTTGGTCCAGGGGCCTTAAGCAAATGGAGCCCGACTTTTCTTTCACTGCCGAGCACTGGGAGGTTGTCAGGACCGCCTGGAAAACTCTCTTGGCCAATCGTGCAGGGTGTATGGCCTCTATTGGGGTGTGGTTGAGTCTTTTTCTGAGGCTATTTTGGGTTGGCTTCAAGGGAACCAAAAGGAAACCAACCAATTTGGGAGGCTCCGATTTCTTGAGAAACACATTGAAACCATCTACGTATAGGTAGTGGAAGTTGTGCCTGCAAACTCTTGTTCCTTTCGGCAAACCTGTGAGATCTACTTTCGAAGGATGACCCAAACTTCCTTTTAGACGAGGGGCGGGCAGTGCGATCTTTGGCTTGGTTCCCTTTAGCTCGGATAGATAGCAGTTAGGTTGTGTGAAGCATTCTGATTGTCTTCTTTCTAACTATCCCAAAGAGATGCCACAAGGGCGTATGTAAGTTCAGACCCTGTCCCCCCCAAAGTTGAACACCCAGTTCCCAGCAGGGTCTTGCAAACCATGTTGCAGGTCCTTTGCTTGGAATTCTGATGCTTGTTGCAGACTTTGGGATTGCAGAAGTTGCAGCATGTGTTTCAACCCGGAAATGGGGTTCAATCATGCGCGCGGTTCTTCCCAGGCAGGGATTACGCTGGTGATCTCCTTCTGCACCATTGCCGGTGCGGGTCCCGGGTCGCGTTTCGATCCCGCTTTGCGATTGCGGATTTGCCAGGACGTTCCGTCAAAACACATGAGCCACAATCAAAACCCGGGTAGATGAAGGTTAGTAAGGGACAATCGCAACCATAAATAGCTGTGGCCGCCTTCTTAATTCTTTACACGGTTCTGGGTACACCATTTTAATACCGGGTTTTGATTGTGACTCACATGTTGTTTCAGGCTCGGCCACATATGGAATGGAGTCAGGTCACACAAAATGCTCTGTGTACGCCAGATGTGGGCCAAGATGTGGGGCGCTTTGCTTCCTGACTCCGCTAGGTTTTGGACTTCTTGGACATTGACAAGACTATCTTAGTCCAAACAAGTTTGAACGTTTAATTCCTGGGAGGAGACAGCTTCTTTTCCTGGTCAGAGACACAGGAAGTCAAATTCAGGGATTGGAACGATTTTGGCGACCGTTGATGGGATGACTGCCAAGCAGGATGGGGATGCTTCCCTCATTCGTGCTCTGCACCAGCCCCCTCATCATTTTCTGCCCAATTTCGGAAAGTTTCAAATTGTAAGCAAAAACATACTGAGGGCTTTTTTTTCTGCCCAACTGCTTCCAATATCGTTTCTGATGGGCTTGAAAGGCCAAGTAGTTATCCAACAATCTCTAGCACGTCCCCAATTGTTTCCATTGATCCTTGTCCCAGACAATCGCGAACAACTGGAAGCTCGCAAAGAACGGCGGTTGCAAAGAAATTGAAATCAACGTGTTGGGGTGCTCGGAGCCATGAGGCCCAACACCAAGCGTTTCATGTGCGTTTTCTATTGGCGGCCGTTTGCATATGCCTTGTGCCAGGGTGTCTTGTTTACGGGGCAAGTTGCTGGGGGCCAGCCAGCAAGATACACGTTAATCAATGCATCTCAATGCAAAATTTGGCCTTTGTCTCTTGTGGCAAGTGGAGATATTTACGCGTTGTTTCTTGTTCCGTTTTTTTCCTGGTTGACCCAAGGTGAAGCACACACACCTCAAGATTTGTATCTCGCGGATCCAAGTGCTCGGGCTCCATGTGCAGGCGCCTTCACCTTCAACTGGTTCAAGATGGAAGGCGGCTGGCACTCGCTCATGCAGGCGGGCCTCGGGGGTCTCTAGGGTTGGTAGATGTTGGCGAATCTTAACCCCGGAGTACTGAACCCCGCTGGTGGATTCATGGGGGGGTGTCCCAATTCTTTTAGTGGGGATTCGTCACTTTTCGAGGGAGCACCCCCCTAACAATGGGACGGGTTCATTAATCCTGGATCAACATGAAAGATGAAGCAGTATATGTTGCACTTTTGACCTCAGGTCGCAGTGGTGATGCGAGTGAACTACATGTTATAGGCTGTAGGTTTAGACTATGTCAAGCTCTTCTGTGTGGATTGGATTGTAGGTTTAGTTTAGCCATGCTAAGCTGCTAAATGTTAGATTTGAGGGTTGACCAAGCACCCTGGAGGGAACAAGTCCACTTCCTGTCAGGGATGCATGAAACCATACCACTGCCAGCGGGTTCAAGATTGTCCAACAATATCGAGAGTGGTCTCTTTCAAAACCATCATTTTGGGCGTCCCCTAAAAAAAGACAGACCCATATGACGCAGATTCCGTAGGTTGCGCCAAGGATTCCGGTTTCGGAGAGGTGCAGTTTCATGGTGACGCAAGTTGTCGTCCCCTCCCAAGAAAACCCAGGGAAGTCTTGGTGGGCCCCGCGCCAAAAAAAGGTCAAGCCCCAAACTACCATGACCATTTGAGCAAGGGCTCGTTCCCCCAAAACAAGACTAAACAGGCTGGGGGTCTTGGGGTTTCATGTCCTGCTTTTCGCTTTGCTGCCCCCACAAAGTAAAGAGCTCTAAGCATTTATACAATCAGTATGCTGATATATACTCTGAAACCCCTGCTCGTCCATGTCCGTGTGTCGCAGCCTTGACCCCCCGCTGCAAATTGACAGGAGTTGGACCGCGGCCGAACACGACAACACGGTTTTCCTTTTGATTTCCCTTTAAAAAACCAACCCAACAAAGAAAGTGGCCGCACAAGAACAACAAGCCCGCATGGAACCCAACAAACGGGTCCCCCCAAAAATGGGTTGCAAGCCCGCATGTCGGTTTTCGAGTTCCATCTCAAGCTGAGCGGAGGTAATCTTTCTGGATTCCTCGACCCTTGGGCTTCCGAAGGGTTGAAGTAGCCGGGGCAAGGATTTGTGTAAGGCAGATCAAGGTCCCCTTGAAAGGGAAGCAAAATGGTGCAGACAGCAGAAACTATAACGTGCTTATAGAACGAGCTCAGCCAAGAACTTGTTTCTGGTTTGTGAGTTGCCCAGATAGGAAGTGCGAAGTTGTGCAAGTCGTAGAGGCTTGTTAAAGTACGTGGCAGTCTTGTAAAGAAGCCCAGAATCGTGGCTTGAACATGTTTCAGCCATGGGTTGAATCGCTGAACCCCGGCAACCATGTCACCGCCCTTCATTCATCAAGAGTTTGTGGGGCGTGGTTGGCTCAGTTGCAGTGTTTCGGGGAAGTCGTGGCAACCTGTGTACTTAGTTCAACAACCGGGTCTTTCTGGCTGCAGCCTTGGGTGTATTGTCGATCTCCCGAAACATGCAACCCAAAGATACCAGTGTTCTTGGGAGCTCGCAGTTTGTTCCCAAAAGTGTCCTGTAGGAGGATCTTTAGACTCTATTTTTCGGGAAATGAAGGGTTTTCCACTAAAGCCGCAAAGAGAGTAACTTTTTTGCAGAGGGATCAACAGCAACCAAGTAGAGTTTCCATAAGCCCACATTCTACGTGCCCCAGAACCGCCCCTCTGCTTTTTTTCCCACCTGCGCCGCGCGCCTGTCGGCCAGATCACCATGACCGTGGAGGGGATCCTGTGGGCGATCGCAGCTGCTCTCCTCGCGCGGGCGGGGCCCGTGGTTTTGCTTTGGTGCCAAGGGTGGGTGACGCATGGATAGTATGACGAGTTCCTGGCATTTGTCACTTCTTATGAAGACCATTTTAGAGGCAAGCAAAAAGGTTTGAGGACTTGTTTGGCAAATTCGATCAGGGAGAGAGAGAGAGAGAGAGAGAGAGAGCGAGAGAGACAGAGAGCATGGTTGGCAACCTGTTGGTTTCTTGCAAGCACCTTAAAACCTTAAACATAGTTGACTAATTACCACTTGTTTGTAGGGAGACGGAAACCAAGTTAAAGCGAAACCACAAGTCAGCCATCCCCATCCCCTTAGAATGGAACAGGGAATGTGTGTTTGTGAGGTAACATGGGATACTAGAATTCTAATACCCTTTGGCAGCACGAGGGCATCCTCGATCCAGCCCATGGCTGAAGCCAACGCATCAGGATTCCCCAGCCCCCACGGCCATTGGGGGGGTTGAAAGCTGATCGCACACGACTTGTATTCATTTGTACTCCCCTGTTAAGGCCCCTTCTTCCAGGGGGAAGCCGAATGACTGGGGGGGGGGTGGTAAGGCTTCATCCATTGGCATTTCTCTTTGGCCAGATCAACGTCATCGTGAACAACGCCTCCGTGGCAGTTGGGCAAGTGCTGCTTGGATCAAAACCCACGGCCGTGGTGTCCGGCGCAGTCCTTGGGACTGGTCGATTTCTCTCCTGCAGATTATCCAGTATGGCTCCTTCAAAAATACGCATTTGGAGAGGGAGCTCCTTTTGAGGGACTCCATTGTTTAGTGGGATGCCCCTTTTGCCCTTTTGTTTTGTGGATTCTGAAGCCGCTCAAAATGGTCCAATGGTTGAGTTTTTCTACCAAACAGCCCACTGCTACAAGTGGGTAAGGCTTGCAGGCGCAGAAAATTGTGAACAAGGCGGCCAGCCTATCGAACGGCAACAATCTTCACGAAGAGTTACACGGGGGCTTGCGCAACTTGGGCATCCGACAGGATACTAAACAGGCCTAAACAAAGGATTCGGTTGGCAGCAAATTAAGCCATGCCCATAGCAACATGTTACTTTTTTGTCTAGGCAATCTTAGAACTTATATTCAGCCCTTATACTCTTTGAACGTAATGTTGATCAACACTCCCCCCCAAACCCGCAAACTGTGTGTAACTGTTTGGCTGACTTCCGCAATGCGCATATTGCCCCAGGTCTTGGCAGTGTGTTTGCAGTTTTGTTTCAGCATGGGCAAGCAGGACTGGTTCAAGAAGCCCTAGCACCCAAAGCAGACGCCAAGGGCTTGGAACAGCCCGTGGCCGAGGATCATTTGCTTCGGCGGCATCTTCTTTGCGATTTCTGGCCTCCAGGATCTGCCAAACTCAGCTTGGTGGTGTGTTGCTTCGAAGCATACATGCAACTGCCGGCTTTTTTTTTTGTATTGTTGCTTCATGTTCCCTTTCAAGCGCAGAAAACATCAAGTTGCTGTGTCGCTGTGATGCCTGTGAAAGATGTTCACGTTCACAGAATTGCGAGGCGGAATCGCAGGGGGTGCTTGAGCCAACCGAAGCCGTCGCAGCCCTTGAGGTTGGGATCCAATGCATCACGCGGCACAAATTGGCCAATCCTGTGAAGCGAGGGCAAGCGAGTTTGTGTCCAGTGCAATGGCTGTCAGGTTTGGCACTCACTTACAAAAAGTTGATTTGGCCCGGAACTAAGGCCAAAATAAACCTTGATGAGCAGATTGAAGTTGAACGCAAGGCGCCAATCCTCAAGTTTACTGAACACTTTTGTGGTGCAAAGTCGGATGGGTGGAAAACGCGTTGCAAAAACAACACGGGCTTGTGTTTCGGCCCTACCTGTGCTGAGGGAGTCAACAGGTGATCCAACTCGTTTTGCAGGTTTTGGAAGCACCCCCCGCCCCCCGCGGCTCAAACCCTAGGGGGATGGACCCAGCTTGAAGCCAAAAAATGATTGGAAAGTAAAAAGGGTCACGTGGTTGTCCTTACTGGGTCCCCCAGTAGTGCCCTTTTACCCTTTTTTGGGGGAGGGTTCCAGAAAAAAGGGTACCCGTATTCTAACCTCTCTGCTGGAGGACCTAGCTTACTTTGATGAAGTCCGGCTTCGGGTCAAGTTCTCATAGCCAAAACCGTTTGGGCCCGAATCTGAATCGCGTTCCCTGAGTTTTGGCGTGGGAAACCCCTTGAATCCTCTTGAAGGGGGTGTCACTTCACCGGGTCAAGCGCTTTGGTTCGGCCTTGTGTAGCATCTTCCAAACCCCCGGCCCTGGGTTTGAGGACCCAAATCGACCCCTTTCGGTTTCACGGCTGTAGAGGTGGAGCGAGCGTGTGGCGGTCCCTGGGAAGGCTCCCAAACCATTCTTTAAGTCTAAGAAACCAGGATCTTGTGCAAGGGATTCCTTGGTTTTTGGTAGGCGTTTTGCAAAATTATTTCAAAACCAGACCACCAAGTAGGGGCAAGGTGATTCTTGCAGAAGCTTGCTGTAGCTGGTTTCTGTGATGAAGGCTTCCTCAAATCCCCGGCATATTCAGGGAAGGAACCCGGCAAGCGGATTCGGAAAGCATTGAAAAGGAGATTATGCCTTCCCTGGAAAAACGATGGCATAGGGTGCTCCATGTTAATCTGCCGGAATTTAATCCCACCCTCATTTGGGTGTCCTTCCTGACAAAACGCATTTGTGGCGGTGCCAAAGGAACCGAAAGGAACACAACAACTTTTGGGGTCACCCCAAAAAAGAAGCATGGCGCTCCTTTCCAACCTGTCAACCTGCATTCCAAATACCGGGTAAGACTGATGTATCCCAGGCAAACGCAACGGGATAGATGCGTCTGCCTTTTTGCCCCTTCCCACTTTTGAGCAAACAGCATGAAGGGGCCTCCCTTGTTTCAGATCTGAGTTTGTCGTTCTTTTCCAACAAAGAATCAGTTTACTGTAGCTTCAAACGGCCAGAACAGGGACTTGGTCTCTGTTTGATTTGGGTAGCCGACCTTTTGGATTGGCATTCTAGTCTTCTCAACGGATTGACGCAAAGCGGTGTGTTTTTATAGGTTGGACGCCCCAAAATTGCGGTTTTCCTTTTGGTCTCTGTTTAAAACCACAAAAAGAAGGGCACCCTTAAATCCAAGGTAAACCCACATGTCCCCCTCTTGGCTTCCAGTGAAGCGGTAGGATGGCATTCCCGGGAATGTGATCAGCCTGTCCTACGTCTTGGCCCCTGCGGCGAGCCAGAAGAAGTGCCTGGACCCGTCCACCTGGCGCCTTGGATTTACCTGAAGGCTCGCCGGTTCCCAGCAGGGACGGAGGGAGTGACCCCTAGCAACAGGGGGGTCTTGTTGCCACCTTTTGTGAGAAAATTGGCGACCCCCTCAAAAAGGAATCCTTCACTACAAGGGGTCGATCATTTTTCCACCAAGAGTGGCAAACAGACTGCCTAGCAACACCCTCCAACCGGTGGTTTCCTTTAAGGGGATGCCGAGGTTCATTCCCAAAAAACAATCTAAGCAATTCCGTACTGAGAACCAGCAAGAAAATGGGAACCCCTCAAATGGTTTCTTATCCGGATTCCCTAAAAGGCAAACCCAAATTCGTGCTTTTGGGATTGGCTGGTGGGAACTGGGGAGTTTCACCATTGGTTCGAAACCACCGCGGAACACCTCCAAACCACTCCAAACCACCAATCAGAGGTTAAGCTAATGTGGCGGTTGGTATTGAGAGTCTTTCCAGACTCCCAGCTTAGCACCCATGGGCTGAATGAATGAATCCCTGTATTGAAATTGTATGGAACCCTAGTTGATTGGTTGATTCCAATTGAAACTTGTTTGTGGGAAATCCGTCCATGGGTCGATCGGTCCGGCATAGCCACAGGTTCACTGGACGTTTACAATCAACCTTTGATTCGGGCACAAAGTGAGATGAACACTCTCATCCCAAAAAGGTTCCAGGGAATTGGATTCTAAGGCTTTCTTCCCTCCCAAGTGTATTGATGTTTTTTTTTAATGCTTGGTTGGTGTCAGAATACTCGCCTGCCGGTCGGCAACCCTCCTTATTCGGGACTCAGGATACGCGTCCTCTGAATTTTGCGGGCTTTCCCAGAAAAGCACTGTGACCGTGGGAAAGCCACGTGCCCAATAATGAGGTACCTCTCAGTAAACTTGGGCGCAGTGCTTTCCCCGAGCCATTGTGCCTTCTCACTTTTCCCGCGTCTCTGAGAAGGCATGATACCCTGGAGAAGCCTCGAAAATGGGGGTCCAGACCCCCGACTAATTGGCAGTTTGGATTGGTGTGGGAGTTGAAACCACCCCGGAACACCTCCAAACCACCAAACCAAATCACCAATTGGAGGCAAACTGAGCCAAGGAAGGCCTCATGGCCAGAGGCTTGCGCGTCCCACCCGTCGCCTGTGAGGTATCAAAATGCCCAGCCTAACCCCCCCTAGTTGCAGCGGCTCGTGTAGCAGCTAAGTGCAGACTTGCCGCAATGCCAGTAAAACACCCACAAGTATGCCCCCACCCCTGGAAACCATGCTGAAGTGATGGAAGAAGTGCAATTCGCTACAAACTCTACAGTAAATCACCCACTGGCACGCAACAGGGCAAGGGGGCTGGGATCCTGTGACGCTGGAGTTGGTGGTGTGCGGAAACAAGTTGCCACAAGGGGGGAAAATTGCCCGTAACCAGTAGACAAACAGATAAACTGCCCCGTAACCCGTAGACTGCCCGTAGCCTGTAATTATCCGTAACCAGTAGAAAACTGCCCCACATGTGTATATATATATATATTAAATACAGCGAACATATCCACCCTTCTTTACCCAACTTGTAGAAACACATTTTGAACGGGGTTTTATTTGTTGGCATGGAGTCTCCCCCTTTTCCTTCGTGAATGCTGCGAGGTCGCCTTCGATGTCTGCCTCCTTTGCCGACGCATGCCCTTACTATGGCATCTCTTGCTGCCCGACTACTGCAGCCCTGGTCTGGGCGCAACACAATGAGCAAACAAGTGCATGCTAAGCAACCAATTTGTGATGTTTGCGCAAGGAAACCAGAAGGTGAGGGGTAGTATGTTGTTTCAAGCACCTGTTGAGTTGGCAACTTTGGAATTTATGGCATGCCAGTTTTATTTGTTACTTCTAGTCAAGACCCAACACATGTCATTTGTTTTTGGCTTGCGTATTTGTGTTCAGGATTTGCCGTAGGTAAGAGAAATAGATCCTTTGCAGAACAGGTCGGGGCAGAGGGGGGCAAGGCACGTGTTGCTAAACCCTCGTCAACGGTGTCTTGTCATCCGTACTGAATCGATGTGTTTGATGGGTGTTCAGCCTGTTTCGTCTTTTCAGAGCTAGTCGAACCATGCCGGTCTCCGCAATGTGTCACTCACCTCCCTGCAAGAACAGGGCAAAGGGTGGGTGGTCAAACATTTGCTTTCTTTGGTTTAGCCTTGCAAAAACAGCAACAACATATGCACCTCCCTTTCAGAAGGGTCTGGAAAGGGATATTAAACCCATTTTTTCGTCCATGTCCAAATAGGGAGTCCCATTTCAGGATGGTCAAGAGAGTAGTTCACAGGAAGCCTCCTTCGGTGGATGCCCTAAATATGGGCGTGGGGATCAAAAATAGGTGGTAAGTGGAAACTAGGACTACAGCCTGCGGCCCCCTGATTCAGTTTGAGCCATGTCCATATTGCAAGCAAGCCAACCACACCCAACCACAAAGCCCTGGTAAATAACGGTAGGCTAGGGGTTTCCTTTTTCCCTTGCTTGCGTTCTTTTGGGTATTTAGCGAGTATATACTGTTACTCCTATCACTTGAACGGGCAAAGATGTTCTCCTAATGTTTTGGTTGCGTTGGTTGTCAGATTCAGCCAAGGCCCAAAGACCATGCGTTGTCTTTGGGCCGCAAACTCTTTGCGCTTGACATACCTTCATGAAGACCCTTTTAGAGGTAAACGCTACTAGTTGTTTCTTGCCAATCCACTCAGTCAACTTTTTTGCGACAGAACATCAAAAGACCATGGGACACGTCTTCACTTCCTGAGTCATGGCCGTTTTGGGCCAACCTACGCATGTTCTTCTTTTGTTTTGGGGGGGGGAGGGTGGCCGTTTACCTGCGTTTTCTCCAGCCCACCTATTTTTAGCCCCCAGCCACGCTAGGCTTCATGGTGGCCACAGCCATGGGGCTCCGTGGGGTTTGGGGGCTGCCGAAGCGCCTCGTCTCTGACCCCCGGCCGCCGCCCGTGTCGTGGACTCGCGGGAGTTCCTTTTCAGAAGCGGACTTAGCTTGGCCTAGGTCCCAAAGTAGTTCCCTTTTACCTACTTTCTTGGGGGAGGGTTTTCCTACTAAATAGACGACAGAAAAAAAGGGGACCCTTATTCTAACCTCTCTACTAGATCCTAGTTGGGGGTTCCCAGCCACCCCTTTGGTCACTCCCTGAGTTCATGGACTAAAAACACCATTTGGAACGATAATTTTAGTGGCAAATCAGAAGTTCAAACTGGTTTGGTGTTTTTACTTGGTTTAGTGGTTGGGTTTCCGTATTTCACCCACTGATCGTTAACCTTTTAGCAGGAGATCTGAGCATAGCCCAGCTAAGAATACTGTACCCCCCATGTTGGTTTTCCTAGAGCTCTTAGTGGTAGACTAACAGTTTGAAGTTACCTTTCTTGGCCAATCTCGAGAAGTGAGTAGACCTTTGGACGCAAATTATGCTTTTTCACCCATCGACTGTTTATCCTTTTTTGGGGTCTCCTTCGAAAAAGTATAGACATGTTTTAGGGGGTAGTCTAAATGCGAAGCAGAATGTGAAAGTATGTTTCTAGGAGCCAAGTTTCGGTTTTCCCGGTCCGCGGGTTTTTGTGAGGGTCCGATAGGCTTCGGGTTTCCCAATACCAGTAGAAAGGGAATGCTTCATCCCATGGAAGTCTCTTTGGGGGAGCCCGGAAACAACAAAAAGGCTCCATCCCTTTGAAGGGGGCAGGTTCGAAGGTGGCCTCCAGTAGAAATTGGTTGCTGTTCGGAGGGTTTGATACGTGTTTGCTCGTTTTGTTGGTGGATATTTGCCGCAGGTTGGTTAGCTCCTGGTGCCCTTTGATGCGTTGCAATGAAGCCCCGGTTTGGCTTAGGGCGAGTTTTGTTGCTTGGGAGATGCAGGTGTTCAAGATGGAAGCTGTGATCATTGTTATTGCGGAAGAGACACGTGTATGCTTTGTGTGTGTGTGTGTATGTTGAGTTTTTTGTGACTCCACTTCGGCCCAGCGTGTGTCAGTCAGTCACAGTGAAAAGCCTAACAGGGTGAGGCGGAGGGCAAAGCTGATTCGAGAACCCAAAGTGGTAGATGCACAGCATGCTTTCATCAAGCTGTCCCAAAGAGTCCACTGAAGGCAGATGTCGGTTGCCATTCATAGCAAGTGTTTCTCATGGGGGCTGGGGGGGAGGGAGGGGAGGCGGAGGGAGCCCAAATGAGCCCTAAATAAGGCTTATTAATTGGGCTCCCTCCCCCACAGACCCCATGAGTTTTGGGCAAAGTCCTAACCCGCAAACTGCTCACCGGACATTCCGTGCCTGAGGACATTTTGGAGCCCCTTCGGGGCGATCGCACCTGGGCAAAATTGACAATTGTGTGTGTGTGTGTGTGTTTTTCAGGTGGTTGTTCTCCTTTTGGCTTCTCTTTAAACCAATCCCAAAGAGGGTGTCCCCAACAAAACCACACCAAAATGGACACAATGCTGTTACCCTTTGCTTGGCCTTCACAGTCGTATGTGCTTGAAATTGAATGCCTTAGATAGGTAGATATGGGAATTTGCCAATGGATCCCTTGCACCCTAGCACACATGCACTATGTTATATCATGTTATTCTTAATGTGTCCCGTACTTAGATTGCAACCACGAGAAGGCAGACGTGCTTGGTCATGTCCAAGAAACCGTCACCTCTTAAATCTTCTAAGCTCGGTGCGTACCTTGTATATACAGGTCTAAGTATGTACATATTGCGTTATACACCAGTGATATGATGCAGACATGAGCATGTTGTTTGAGGGGGTCATAATTAGCTGTGTTCTCTGCTGGCGGATTTCAATTTGCAACAGTGTGGTTTGAATGAGCCCAGCTCCCGGATGCGCAGGGCCTACGTTGGCAGGGTCCAAGGGAAGCTGTAGGGTCTCCAAGCTTGCTTGAGCCAGATGTCATTGAGCTTCATCGTTTGTTTTGGCAAATGGGAAGATGGCAAATGGGAAACCACCCTGAAACCACCCCAGAACCACAAAACCACCGATCGAAACCACCAACAAGAGGGAAGCTGATGTATACCGTTTACCTCAATTGCGCAATTCCGACCTTTTGTTTTCGTGGCTCGGGTCTATGTTTATCCTAGAAGGTGACTTTTGTTGCCGGGTCTTTTGGGGAAGTGAGATGCGTAGGAAGTATGTGACTTCCAGAGAATGGGCGATGCTTGTTGGCTGAAGGACAGTGCGACTGGGGGCGAAACGTGTGTCACATCAAGGGTTACACTCTGCACCTGTTGCGAGCACACCCATAATTTCAACGAGCCCACCCATGAAACAAGTTTTTCCATTGGTCTAAGAATAGGTTGTTTTGTTTTAAAGGGAGTTTATCACTACTGGATATATCTTTTCCCCAAGGGGCGAAAGCCAACAGAGGTGCTTGTTAGATCCTGGAGTAATGTCAGCTGCTGTTTCTCAGTGCAGAATGCCGCGGAGCCGACGAACACAATTTGCCTTTTCCGGGTGATGACCATGTGGCAAGAGGGCCAGCTGAACAGGGTTGCTCTCAGCCGTTAGGCGATGATCAAACCGATTCCGGTAGAGACATGTTGTTCCTTTGCCAGGGGCAACATGTCTATTTGGATGTTCAACCAACTTAGTAAGTAGGTGCAAACAAACCGTGGTCATAGCTGGTGTTGGTTGTAACCTACTTACGAAGTTGCTTGGACCCCCAAGTGCCCGTATCACTTGAGTAACCTTTTCGGAGTTATCATGCGTCCGACGGCTGTTTTCTGCTAAATGGGTGCCCGACACCAAGCTGCGTTTGAACGTGTGACAGCGTGACTCTGCAGGAACCCCGCTTTTCTCTCCCGATATTCATGGGAGGTCTGGAGCTATGTCAATTTAGACTGCGCAAAAGAGTCCATCGGGGGTAGCTGAGGCCTGCTTCTTCATTGGCCCGGGTTCCCGGCCTTCTTATCGAAGGGAGCTGAGTGGCCACTCAGCTACTGTGGATGGACGAAATCCGTTCGCACCACTTGGAAACCATAGGAAACCATGGATTGATGGATTTGCAGCGAATCATCATTCCAGGGTTCCTTAGGTGGTGCAGGATTCTGTCCATGCGCAGCATGGCTATCTAGAAATCCCCTCAAACATATTGGGGGGGGCATGCATGCCAATGCCCACAAAAGTCACAAAAGGGTCCCGAATAGAACAAAACGCCCCCTATTGTCAGACAAAAGCATGTGAACCCCAGCGAGTAGGCAGTTGAGCAAACTTTCTATTATTCCGACGTGGGATGCTAGTCATTTTTGAGACCTGCGCTCTTGGCGATTTCCTTGCTGCAGGCATTGATTTGTGCTGATGACAAGGATGTTGGTGTCATGTTGGCTTGTAGGACTTTGCGGTTTCCAGCCATACCCTTCGACTTGAGGTTTAGCGTGCAGAGTCGGATTCATGGCATATTGCACCAAAAGTTTCGCTTTTAAGAGCAGTTTCTTGGTATATAAACTTCCCACCAATGCAAATTGTAAAGCAGACTTAAGGCAAGACTGAGCTCAAACGCGCCAGCCTTTCAAACGTGCTAAATGAAAACGCGATGTCCTGATTTACGGGAGCGTGCCTACGGTGTATTGGGTTGGGAATCAAGCCAAGCTACTGTAAAGCAAATTCGGGACAGATTAAGGCCAAATTAAGGGCAAATTAGCGCAAATGCCTATGGGATTTGGGCTCAAGCAAAATTAAGGCCAAATTAAGGCCACATTAGGCTCAAATTAATTAAGGCCAATTTAAGGCCAAATTAAGTCCAGATTAGCGCCCATGCCTAATGCAGCAAACATATAGCACGAAATAAGGCAAGAGTAAGGCAAACGTAAAGCCCAATTCAAGGGAGCACTGAAAGCGCGCCTAGGGAATTTGAAGAAACAGAAACTGAAAGCCAAACTGAAGCAACATGAAATCCACTCGGCGGGCGGGTTGGCTACCGAGCGCCGATGGCTTCAGGAAGTTGCTTCAAAAATTTGCCCCTAATAAGCCCTAATCAGGCCTTATTTATTTTGGGGGTGGTTCAAGGGGAGGGTGGTTTGGAAACTATGATAACGTGGAACCTGACAGGAACCCGGTCCCTTTTAAAAGGGCAATGGTTCAAACCAGGACTTCCCTATCAGCTTCCATGCAAAGAGGGTGGGCGGGTAACCTCCCATGGTTGATGGGTGCAATGTCCTTGGATTCAACCCAGACCTCCCGTGATGGAGTGGTCCTTCAAAACCAATCAACTCCAACCCGGTTGCCGGGGGCACAACCTTTTTGTCCATTTTCTTTGGAGGGGTAGCCGCTTTGAAATCAGCTACCAGAAAACGATGCCCTTGGTCTTCCACGCTTTTCCTTGGAGGGCTTTTCCTTTAACATCAATTATCTTCTCTTTTGATGCGCGTGTCCCTCGTTGCAAGACATGTTTGCCCTAAGTTGGGTGATTTACCGTTGTTGCAAGTGGCAATGCACCCACTAAGTTCTCGGCGCTCGAGACTATGTTGACCGTCCACTCTGAATTGAGTGCGTTTATTCGAACTGATTTATATGGGGTCCTTCATGGAGTCCTTGTGGTTTGGGAAGCGATAAATATTGTCTGCAGCTTTGCGTTCACAGCTTGAGTTTCTAGATGTCACTCTTTTTGGGCTTGGAGCATGTTGGTGTAAACGATAAAATCGTTCTTTCTGAGCGGCCAATCCTCTCCGGGAGTTGGTTTGCCGTTCGAGGCGCATGGACCATCGGAGTGTTTGGGCTTTGGGGGCCCACCATCCTGGACGGCTTCACCAAGTGCGCCAGGGTTTGCTCGTTCCCAGTCTGTCAGGTCAGGTCAGGTCACGTCATGGTTGTGGACACCTTGATGTTGGTTGGATAAGCTTCTGTTTCGATTGACGCCTGTTGGAAGTGATAGAATGAGTCATGGAGATGGGACTTCCACTGCGGTAGAACAGAAGTTGGGCATTTTCTACAACCGTGTCCCCCTTGTTCGGAGGTTTGGAAGACAAGGTGAAATCGTTGACAGGAATCAGCTGTTCCATGTTTGTTTGATGTGTATGAGTTCCCAACGCAATGTGCGCCAAGTCAATCTGGAATTCTGGAAGCGTCAAGGATCCGTCCAATGCTGGTTTTGCATTCCCAAGCCTGAGCTCCTTTGCTTGACAGGTTTCTTCCTGCCTGCCGCCGAGTTTCGGAGGGTTGGATGGTTTGGCTTGCCTAAGAGCGCTTCCACTAGAGCCCCAATCCACCCCCAAGGGCAGGGTTGTGGGATCACTCGGGGTTTCTCCCTACTTCTGTGATACAAGGGAATCCCCCTTTATGTGAAGAAAATAGTCTTTGGGAAGCCCTTTCTGTTGTATCACAGTGGTCATTCCCCACAGCCCTGCCCAAGGGGGAATCGGGGATTCTGACCGCTTTTAGGTGAATGCCATGTGCCCCATGTTGCCGATGAGTGGAAACTCGCTTCGTGCTTGCTAAACCGCTTTGCTAGGGCTATTGCTTGGGCGCTTGGCCACGGGAGTGTGTTGTGTTTATAAGGAATCCGTTTTCGAGGCAGTTTTGAAACACACAGAAACACAGCATGTGGACAGAGTCCTCGATTCTAAGGTAGCACTCATATGCTGACACTGGAGAAAGCCACCAGCCAATCCAATGGCCAGCGAGGTATGAAGACTTGGACAACCCGAGCATCGACATGTACACGCAGAAGACGTGCCTTTGCGGATAAAGTGAGGGCTGAGGGCGGGAGCTTGGTTTAGTTCTTTCCAGTATGCTGAAAAAGCGAAGTTGCCCCGACAGGAAGCCAATGGCGGATGGGTGATTACTTGCCCCAGTGCCTCAATTTGCTCCCCTGCAGAATAACATGGATCTCCAAAACCCACCCATTTGTAGAGAAAACTACTTCGGGGAAATGGACCCCCGTTTGATTTCCTTCCGATAGTTTGTGGGGGAGAACAATCGATGTCGATCGGGTTGCCCGTTTGTGTAATCTATAAACTTGGCGTGTTGAGTTCGCACGCCCCGAGCCTCCAGATCAAACGAAATCACGGGGAGGGTCCCGTGGTAGATGAACCCAACGGGTAGAACGATTGGCACGGATTGGCAAACGGCGTCTCTAGGTTTCCCTTTTCAGGGCAACCTGGGTTCGTTTTTTTTGAGGGTACTTGTTTTTGTGGTTTGAAAGGGAAACCGGCAGGAAAACCATCATTTTGTTGCCGGGGTCCCATGGAGTACATACATCTTCCCAAAGCAAAGGAACATTTGCCCAATCGCATTCCCACCACAGGGATCAATCATTCCTGTGTGGTGATTTTTGGTCGAAAGTGCTCGTTTCGAGTCGATACAGGGGGGCTCAGTCCTTGCTGAAGTTCCTTGTTTGTCCAACAACTAAGCCCCTCATTTATACGGGGTGTGCAATTTGAGAGAGAATCCTGATCACGTTTGGGGAGTTGCACCCACCCAACAACAAATCCACGAGGTTCACATCTGGGTGTTTATCAAATTGTGGATTCCCCTGAAAACCTGTTTGTCGGGGGTGTTTCACAAGGTCGTTCTGAAATATATCAGGTATCAGGCACCTCTTCATGGTTGTTGTTTGGAAAACATTCTACATTTTACTTGTTGTGGTTTAGTGGTTGAAATCTCCCCTTAACTGCTAAAATTCAAATGTTTGCGCCCCTCGCAACGTCAACCAAGTCTGGTTGGTTTTTCCAGTTTTACCCTTTTCCCCCGGCGGTTTGCGTTGGGTTTTTTCAGGTTCTCGTGGGCCTGGGTGCACGTGATGCAAGTCATCGGCGCGGTGTTCCTGACACTGGGCCTGGGCCTTGGCCGAAAGCGTAGCCGAGAGCCACAACCGGGCTTGTCGGTCTCCAAACGGTTTTAGGGCAATGTTGACCCCGGATTTTCATCAACCCCAGCTTATATGTATATACATATATATATATAATGTTGGAACTTGATTAATAAAGCCCCCCCCCCCACCCCCCCTGAACAATGGAGGCGCCAAAACAATGGGGGTGCACTTTTGGGACGTCCAAACAATGGAGGGTTTTGGGGCCCAATTCTACTTTAGTATTGCAGCCACTTCCTTTTTGCAGTTCTACTTTAGTATTGCAGCCACTTCCTTTTTGCAATTCTACTTTAGTATTGCAGCCACTTCCTTTAGTATTGCAGCCACTTTATTTTTGCAATTCTACTTTAGTATATTGCAGCCACTTCTTTTTTGCAATTCTACTTTTCAATTCTACTTTAGTATTGCAACCACTTCTTGTCAACTGGGGGTTTGGCTTTGGGTTCTGTGGTTGAGCAACCAATTGAAAGGGGAATGCTTTTAAGCAAGTGGGCCACCAATTGAAAGGGGAATGCTTTTGAGCAAAGCAAGTGATAGCGTATTTTCTGGGAGGGGGCGCTGGGGGCTTGCCACTATTGTGGTCCCCTAAAACAATCACATTATTGTGGTTCTGTGGGGTCTGTGAGGGGTACCCTTGTCCTGATTGTTTTTTTCATTTTTTTAGCACGGTTTAATAAAGAGTTTGCAGTTTCAGGGCTGGGGATGGTTTTCAAATTTCAGAGTTTCAGCTGGCTTTGGGTTCTGTGGTTGAGCAACCAATTGAAAGGGGAATGCTTTTGAGCAAGTGGGCCACCAATTGAAAGGGGATGCTTTTAAGCAAGTGGGCCACCAATTGAAAGGGGAATGCTTTTGAGCAAAGCAAGTGATAGTGTATTTTCTGGGAGGGGGCGCTGGGGGCTTGCCACTACTGTGGTCCCCTAAAACAATCACATTATTGTGGTTCAGTGGGGTCTGTGAGGGGTACCCTTGTCCTGATTGTTCTTTTTTGCATTTTTTTTAGCACGGTTTAATAAAGAGATTGCAGTTTCAGGGCTGGGGATGGTTTTCAAATTTCAGAGTTTCAGCTGGCTGGATTTTGGGGTCACCATGGATTTTGGGTGATTGTTTGGGGGGGGGGGGCTGTTTTTTTTTTAATAAACATGCTTTGTGGATGTTTTTTTTTGGAATTTTCCCCCTGGCCCAAAAAACTGTCTATTATTCTGGTCCCCTTAAACAATGGGTGTGAACCATAATAAGGGAAACACTTTCTATTATTCCGGTACCCTTTACTAATCGAGTGCTTACATTACGGGGGTATGCCTGGGTTTAGTGGGGATTCCTCACTTTTGGTTCAGAGGGCCTTGTCCTGAGGTTCAGCCACCATTAAAACAATGGTTGGGTTCATAGAACCAGCATTGCTAACCGTTCAGGATTGTCATCCTATTTTGGTCCTGGCCATGAATGGGGGCTTTTCACCCTAGGATGTTCTCGTCTGTTTTAGGGTAATGGGAACTCCGGAGTTTCATCAGAACCTCTGGTTGTGAGAGATGGGGTTCGGTGTCCCCTTTGTGTGGGGAGCCAGACCACCCCTGGAAGGGACACTCCGCAGGTCGAGTTTATTTGCTTGGGCAAGTGAGAGGGGGATCGGGGATGGTTTTCTGAAAATATCGGGCGCAAACCCCCCCTCAAATGGGTGTGTCTTTTTGGGGGAACTCCCAAAATGGGTAGTCTGCCTTTTGGTCCCCCAACCTACCAACAAGGGGGCACCCTCAAAAACCCAAGTCAAACCGCTTCACCGCACATGACATAAGTTAACTCAAAGGGGCGCAAGCGCGAGACTTATTTACTGGGCTAGTTTCGATATACCGGAAATGCCGCCAATCACTAGCAAAAGTGGTAAGCAACGGAGCAAAGCAATCATCAAAGTATACCTAGAATCTGTTAAGCATCAGGCAACTCCTACGGGCATCCTTCGTATTACGGTTCCGTTCGGGCGCGACTAATGGATGCACCGAATAAACCAAGCAAGAGTCAACAAGTCGTTCCAGCTTCGAAAATGCGATTTGTCCACTTAGCTTTTGCACCAACAAAGGCAAGACTCACCCTGCAAGGCAAGCCTGACTGTTGACCCCGGACAAGAAACAAAATCCTTGATTGGTTGGGGGGGCTCCCCTTTTGAGTGGGGATCCATATCACTTTCGGAGGGGCCCCACCCCCCTAATGCCAAGCATGATGCAGGGTCCTTTCTTGGGATGGCGAGATTTTGGCGCTTTATCGCCCATTCCTAAAAACCACCAGGCCTTTTTTTCTCCCCGCCTTGACACGTTCCGGGGGTTGCGTGGGATACTCCCGTTTCGCTTTCTACAGGCGGTATGTGCGTATATACGCTTCTTGCGTGTTTCTTTTGTATGCAGGCGGCATTGTCTTCGGAAAGTTGGACGACATCTACCCCTGCGGCGGCTCCAAAGGTGCCGAATTCGCCACTTGGTTGATCGGCCCGGCAGGGGTTGCCTGTTTGGGGCCCCTCTACAAGAACTAGGGGTTCAAATCCCCAAGCCACAAACTGTACAAAGGTAAGGTTAAGGTGATTGGTGGGGGGCTGGAAAGCTTCATGAGCTCCTTGAACAGGGCGCGACTTGAGTCAAAGTGCTGAGCGAGTACCCTCCAACGACTCCGTTTTTGCCTCATATATCGCATGTCTGGAGGCAGCACTTTATTTTTCATTGCTATTTTTGCCAAGTTGTCTCCTCAAAGGATCTCCCCACAAAGGCGGTTATCAGGGTTGGGCCCCGGGTTGGACAAGTAGAATGCCAGGCAGGTTGTTTAAACTTGTTTGAACTGTTTTGACTCACTCCCTGAGTTCCTGGACTTTAAACGTTTACGTTTGGACCGTTTCAATGGCATACGAAAAGACTTGGACATTTTGTGGCCAGCCCACTCAGTGGGTTGAACCGGGGCTGGCCAAGCCTCTTCATAGGGAAGTCTGGTTTCATCTTCCGCGCCTTCCTCCAGCATCAGCCGTAAAGGACTTCGTCCATCATGTATATGTGGTGACGGTGAAGCTGGCAAGCAGGTGATGAGCATCAGCGGCATGGTCAAAACTCCGAACATGTTTCTTTTCACTGGCCACGTTTTCATGGTAGAGGGGATTTTTGCCCTGGTTATGGGAATGTTTCAAGAAAAGGGCAAACCAAAAGAAAGTCTTCACCCACTCCAAAAACGTTTGAGTTTTGGACACAAGGGTGGCTAAAGCAACTGGTTACGAAAGCAAGCACTTAAAATTGGTGAACTTTAGTTGATGGGTTGTTCCAAAAGGAAGATGGCTGCTTCCCCACCACAGTGGGAACTGGGATCAATTTGGGTAGGGTAAGCGCGCTGAAAAAGCGCTAGGGCTCTTGCATATTTGCAAACTTTCGCCCGGCTTCATCGGCTCTGGCACAGTAATAGGTAGCAAACCCAAGAACATGTGTGCTACATTCAAAACCCAAACAAAGGAGGGTTCACCGATCGCTGAGGACAGTGAGGATGACAGCTGCAGCGCTGTGGACAGTGATCGCGCGTAGTCTTTTCGCTTACGCGAGGCACGGTGGGATATCGCGGTTGCCGTAGAGTTCCCCGCTAGTAGCCAAAGGGGTGCAGCAGAGTGTTCGATTCCCGCCCTGTCCGGGCCAGACCCTTTTGTTGCTTGCTGCCGTGACCTGTTGCCCGGACTCGTACTTTTCCGTTTGCTTAGAATTGCAGTTTTCGACGTCAAAACGGCAGCGTTGGCATCTCTGGCTGAAAGCGAATCGAGCTTTTGACCATGTTGGTCCAGATTTCGTCGTGGCCCCAAAAAGTTGACCTTCTATTTCCAGGTCCCTAAGGGACAACTGAATAATTATTGTTTCCAGCAAATTGCCACTTGGGATGAGTGGCATCCTAGGGGGTTGGGTGATCAAATTGATCAATCCTAGGTGCACGTTGTTTGCTTGCCTGGTTTGGGACTTGCGATTGTGCTAGTGCCCCTTAAAGGTCTATGCAGCGATATCTTGGACTTAGGGATCCATGCACAAGGCAACGCTGTTGATTGTGGCCCCGCTGTTTTTGCACCCCCCGCAGCCCAAACTCTCCCGCATGCCAGCAAAGACTCGGTGTGTTCCAAGTTCTGCAACAGCAAAACAACCCTGAACGAAATTCGAGACGATCGCCGAGCAGCCCGTTTACTTTGCCGCCCTTTGTTTGCAACCTCCTTTGCCAAGGCCACATCCTCTCAGAGGGCTTGTCGTACCTGAAGTCCGCAGCAAGCGCGTACTCTGCCGACGCCTAGGCGCCTAGAATATGACCCCAATAAGAAACCCACTGAAAAATAAAACGAGGGCCTGACAAAAAGGCCAAGCATGCTGCGGATCTGTTTTGGGAGTGCCAGGTCCACTCGAGGTCGGTGAATCAATTCGGCAGCGCGACCCGCGGTGATCCGGGGGCCATGGATGCCAATGGTCATAGGGCCATGCCACACTTGGCCCACGGGAAGCTGCAGGCCTGTTGTCTTTGTGCTGGTCTGACCTGGCGATGATCTTCTTTTAAATGGGAAACACCCTGCCATCATGCTAGGTGGACATAAATGTTCATGAAAATGATGTCCACCAAACGGGTCACCCAGTAAAGTTCATGCCCACATATGACATAAGCCCGCTGCAACAAGTCAACTGATTAAGAAGGGAAATAAAGGAGGCCCAAAAGGGCCAAAAGGAACGGCTGGTGTTTGTGCAATTCGGTTGCTCGGATACCCCTACGCTGTCTAATCCTGTCTACACCAGGATTCATCGACCCCTCGTTGCTCAAAAAGGGGGGGTTCTTGTTGGAGTGCATTCGTTGCTCCTTTGCTTGGAAAGGAAATATGTCAAGTGCTGTACCGAACGTTTGTGTGTTTCTGCAAAAAACAGATTCCTCCAAATCCAAAGTCACAAGGGGATTGGGCTTCAAAATAAATAACAAGATTGCTCCAGTCGCGCTTGGGAAGGGCTTACATGGAGCTGAGATCCTGCGAAGGTCCAAGAGGTTTAGAGCGGACTTGGGAAATGGGGGAAGGATTCAGCTCAGATCAACTGAAAGGTGTCCTTTTTGCTTGTTGTGGTAGAAGATGGCGATTCATTTGGTTGGGTTGTTTCAGAATCTAACGCCATCAATTTCCCCAAAAGGAGCTCAGGTTGATTGATTTATTTAAGCAAAGCGAGGGGTTCTTTGCGCATCTCTCTCGAGCTCCGAACGGCAACCCGTTGATGTCCAGCTTGGGGCAGCCACCGATGTCTCGGCTGTCCAACTTCCATTTTTTTCCTTTGGGCAGCTGAGATCTCGGAAGCTTGCACTTGGCAACTCGCCGGCAGCTTTTGCAACGGGATTTTGGCCTGCCATTTCTTGCGTGATGGGCGCGCACAATCGAATTAAGCTCCTTCCCCATGGGATTCGGAAAGAACTGAAGCCCCCAGCCCCAGCCAGAAGATGCTTGTTCTTAACGGCCGCTGACTTGCGTGGCGGATGAACTGATGGCTTTTGTTCTGAGGATAATTCGTTGATGTGAACATTTTAGCTTCACAGGGGATCTTGACTTGTCTTGGCGGAAAAATAAGTGCTTGATCTTCAAGCCAATACTATGTTGTTCAAAGAGCAAGGACATGCTGCTAGTCGATCTATTCTGCTGTAAAGCCTGTCGTAAGGCTCCAAGTTTTTAGGTGGCAGACTAAGGAAAATATCTAAACAACCATCCTCCGCCCACCTTTGGGGAGCGAAAAGGAGGATGTTTCAGCTTGTTCCAAAATAGGAACCAGGGTTGGTCCAGCACTGCCAACCTTGCAGGGAAAAAGGCCAGCACTGCCAGAGGGGACCCGCAGCTTGATGTCTCAAAATGGGAAAGCGACCCTCCCTTTCTCCTTAATTACTTGCAGGTCTTAAGCTTTGTAAGGCTGGCTTTTTGAGCAGACCCGTTCAGCCTCTGCTTTCCCAGTGCTTTAAATGTGATTTCGCCGACCCTAAGTTCAGCGAAGAAAGTGGTGCCCATTACCACTAGCCGGTCCTGCTTTCCCAAGCCGCCTGCTGTGCTTTTTGACAGCTGGGCGAGTTTGTTGGTTGACACAGCAGGCTGCGAGCAGTGCCCGGACCTCTGGGCGACAATTGTAGGGGGGATCTGGAATGTTCGATAATTTTCGGTATGGGCGTGATTGTGAGGTCTATTTCTTATGTGCTCGTCCGAAAGAGCCCTGTACTCAGATCTGAAGGGGACGACCTTTTGGTGTTAGTGTTGCCCTTCGCGAAAGCTTGGAGGTCGCGAAAGACACTTGTTTGTTAGGCTTATGTCAGGGTGGTTTCCTGAAACAAATATGGAGTGATGAACCATGTGTATTTGCCGGCTGTGCGCGCAGAATGCACACAGGCTGAAGTTGGTCGGAAGAAAGCACCGCCTGAGGAGTGCCGCAAGAATACATCACTCCCCAGCAAAAAGCAGCTTCCTGGACCTTCGTCCTTCTAAAAAACATGAGTTTCCACCTTTGTTTGGATATTCGGGAAGTCGTGGCGCTTTTTGCCACAAACTCCTGAAACGCCTGAAGATACAAGTACCTTGAGATTTTGTTTTGCTCGCGGCCTTTGACACATTAAAAGAAGCTTTGCGGCAAGGGCGATCTAAACGGTGCAGAAAAAATGTACCCTTGTTGACTGCAAAACTCCCGCAGATTTCTGCAAGTATCTCCCGACCTCCCATAATCAAAAAAGGATCAAGTTTGATGATCAAGGCATCCCATGGAGTTGATTGGCACGTTGGCAAGTTCTGCGAGGCCTATTGATTTTGCATAGCCAGTAGTGCGACTGGAAGCGACTCATACCTAGGACCTCCATTATGTGTGAAACAATTGTTTTCGGAAATAAGCTCTTTTTCACTTCTGCGAGCGTTGTTGTGGCAAATTTGCGAGCACTTGTTCGCAACTATGAAAATTCTGCAAATTGTTGCACTCATGAGTGTTTCGCGAAAAAGCGGATTTTCCCGGTCTAAAGCTGATTTCCGTGCCTTTGAACACGCTGGCCGCTCCAGGAAAACTAGGGAAGGAAGCAAGGCTCCCAAAAAAGCACTTGTGAATCGAACCGGCGGATCTAAAATGAAACGATGGATACGTGTTTGGATGTTTTTACACTACATATATATATATATATATATGTGTGTTTTGCCCAAATTCTAGCAAACCCACTGGATGTCGGCAAAGCGTAGGGTCTCCTGAAACACAGATTTTTCGCGGAGTTTGAAGGCTCAGGTTGTTGGAGTGCGGGAAATTATATCACACTTCCCAGCCGGATTTTTGGCAATGTTCTGCGCGAGATCCGCGAAAGTTTCGTGAAAGCCGATGGCCCTCCCTGCCAGTTTCCGGACATGGGTGGCCAGGGGTTCCCCCCGTGCAATCGCGGAAGTGCACTTCGAGCACTACTTTGGAACTGAAAAGTGGCGACTTTGGAGCTTCGCGTTTTGCTGTCGTTTGGTTGCGGCTTTCGAGCCGGGATTGCGCGCACTTGACACCCTATTTTTGCACCGAAAACTTGCGACTTTTAAGCCGGGACTGCGGAGATGTACTTCGGACTTCGGGTGTTGCTTTTGTACTTCACTGAATGTTGTGCAAATCGCTCCGTGAAAGCTCCACAACGGTCGCGAAAGATATAACTACAGTTTTGTGTTCTGCGAAGAGGTCGTTTCCAGGAACAAGGAATTTCAGACAACCGCCAGGCACAGAAGCAAGTGATTGTCCATATCGATGCATCCTGCTGATGGCATGAACTGTTCTGGGCGCTGTTCAGTATGACTTTAAGCGGTCGTCTATGGCTCGTGGCATGATGGTTTGGTCGGCCCTCCTCGGTGCCGCGCGCATTGGCAACAGTCCCAAGGAAGCCAAAACGGGGTGACCAGTCGATTCTCACTCCCTGAGTTCCTGGACTTCATGCTTCGTGGGAAGAACATTGTGGTGATGAACGAGAAGATACTGTTTTTACTCAGGAAGCGAGCATTGCAATTTTCAAAGCTCGTTATTTAACGCCCAATAGTTGTTTTCCTGGGAGCGCCATTTCCTTGCAACAATGGCTGGTTTTACCTGTTTTCGATTTGCGCCAGCATTAGCGATTTCTTTCCGCATGGAACCTCAGTGGAGGGTCCCTGACAGACACTGTTTGTTTTGAGAGGGACTTTTGTCAGCTTTATGTTAGCGGGGGGAGGGTGATCAATACCCTGAGAATCCATGTAGGCAAATATGGCGTACATTGCAATGTAGCCATTTTTGGGGTACATTGGCAATGTAGCAAAAAAACGACAACATTCGTCGGATCCCTGTCGGATTGTCGAAATATAGCCAAAAAATGATACATTCGCCGAATCCCCGTCGAATGTCGAAATATTGCCTGAAAATTGAGGAGATTTGACGAAGCTCGTGTCTGATAGTCAAATTTGAACCCGAGTGTGACGGAGTTTATTGAGCATACTTGTTTTTTCAGGGGCCCAATGATCCTACTTGCTAGCTTGCTCTATTTGCCAAAGCACTGTTGTGTAGCAACTTCG